ACGCCAGTGGAAGTCTCCACCCTATAATTCTTCCCGCATCAATCGCATCCGGGAGGTGCGTGCGATTGATGCGAGCGTGCTTCGATGTATTTGAATAGGCTCTCGCATGCGATTTCCTGACTGCGGAAAGAGTCTGTTTCAGCCATAAAGGTTGAGCGTGTTCTGACTCCTCAGTCAATAATGACGTGCGCCAGGGTGGCGTCCTTTCATCCTCATATCTTTTCAGAGGCGGATCCAGCTCAGAGCTTTGGGGGGGGGGGGGGCAAACCATTTATCGATTCTTTCCATGCCTCGTCCATAGGCGTAATGTTAAAATTATGCCGTTTGGGGGGGGGGCAAATGCCCATTTTGCCCCCCCCCCTGGATCCGCCACTGTATCTTTTCAATTTGTATATGGATGCTCTGCATAGTTGGTAGTTTTGTGGAAATCATGTCTGAGATGTTTGGACGTTTCCCCTAATCACTTGTTCAAACACGGACGGACCCGTCAGCCCATTGAAAGGTCACTATTTGTGCAGTGTCCACGGCACCTGTGAAAGGGTCAGAGAACAGAGGAAAGTCGCTGTTGTGGCCTCCTGAATGTCGCGCCGGTCAGGGAGGGGGGAGGGGGGGGGGGAGGCAGCGCCGTTTTCGTCGTGACGGGCCGGCCCGTCGCGCTACGCACCAGCCGGCGAGGCGCTGCGCCTGACCCGCTCGGCTGAGGATTCAATAATAGGAAGGGAACGACATGTTCGCGTAAGCACGAACAGTTGGAGCATTTGGGGTGTGGGAGTTACAGAAACCAAGTATACCCGTAGGCACGGTAATACGGTGAAGAGGCAGAGCCGATTTTGCTCTTATTTTGCTATTCTATGCCCCCCCCCATTGGGGGATCCAGGGTGGGGGTGGGCATTGCACCATCCGAGATCGTCGAAAAGTTTTTTTTTTCTAGAATATAAAGAAAACTATACTCTGTTCCATATCAAGCTCGCAGTCGGAGTTTCTTCGGCAGATCGCTTCTCCGCTCAAGAATTTGCGTCTTAAAATGTAAGAGCTGTATATACAGAAATCACGCACTGTTTTCAGCAGGGCCATTCGGCTGCAAGCTTGAAACGGAACAGAGTATAACCCTCGCCCGCACATGCCATTTTCCCATCCTAAAACGCACATGGGGGGGGGGGTTGCCACCCTCCCCCGCGCCATTTCGTTCCTGTTGGAGATAAAGCTTCGCGGTAAAGACCAAAAAGATTCTTTGGGAAGAGACGAATCCAATGATACGCAGTTTTACCTTCTCAGGTCAGTCATTGACCTTCCAGGTCAGGTCAAACTAAAAAATGTTGCTGTTTTGGGTCACCGTTGGATATCAAGTGCGCTGCTTATCATATACCGATGACGATGCCGTTTTCTGGTGCCAAGCCAGCTAGAACCTCTTTCTCACACTACCCGACCATGTTTTTGCTGCTGAGGTCATTTCAGGTCAAGTTAGGTCAAGGTCAATGATATGTGTTTGTATGTCTGTGTGTGTCTGTGTGTATGCTGATGTGTGCACCGACTGTTTATGTGTCCATATTACATGAAATCATGATCTGAGAAGCTTTTACCAAAAATGCAGTCAAAAAACTTCACGAAAAGTAAATTCAGCTTGCCTAAAACGCAATTATTTTAGATGACCTAGGTTGACCTTGACCCTGACCTTGACCTCTGTACATCGTCGAACAACATGTTCGACGATAGGTGGGAGGCTATTTTTAGTGGAAATTTAGTCCAAGACCGCCTTTCTGGATCCGCCAGTGGACCCCTCAGCACGTAAGACGTACCTATACAAAAGGCCAATACGACCGGGAGTCATGATAAATATAACCATTTCATGCAGGATTTGAATTAGGTACGCCGGCGTTTCTAACAGACTGCTAGCTCCAATTTTCAATATTTGTAGTGGTTAACCTATACCTAATGTAAGGAAAAATGGTCCTAATTGCGCAGCTTAGCTCAGCAAATCACATATGGCCATAAAACACAAAGGATATGTTTTCCAAAAAATAAAAAACAAAAATAACGGAGTTCTGTCAACGCATCAGCGTATTGCGCATCAGCGTATTGTATTGCCCCCCCCCCCCCAGACCATCACCCTCACTGCGTGCACTGAGTGCGTCTGCAGACGGAGGACATTAAATCGCGCTATCCTGCGCCCTGGTGGGGGGGGGGGGGGCTATTTTTTGCCCCCTTTTAGACGTTTCGATATATTTCCAGAACCACTGCGCCGATCGTCACCAAACTCTCAGTACCCTCCCGGGCGTCAATTTTACACATTATGACCAAAATTACCAAAAAATTTCAAAAGGCTATGATAGGTTAGCCGCAAATGACGTTGGAGTGACGTCATGTTCTGCCGTTTTCGACTCAAAAACAGTTTCGTGGGAAGAGCTGTCAGGCCTATAGCTTTGAAGATAGGTATAGAAAAACATTTAAAACGTAAAAGGTGGAGAAATGCCAGGGCTACAAAACTGCTATCTCTGAATTTTGATTTTTTAGAATTTTGACCCCCAAAATTAAAAAATGAATATAATTGCCAAAAAATCCAAAAAGTTTTTCGAATTTCGAAAAAAACGGAATATATGTGATAGCTCTTACCGACTTCTATTCACATACCAAATTTCAGATCGATACCTCCTTTTTTGGTCAAGTTATATCGAAAAACTTCAAAATTGATGACGTCAAATTTTCAAAGTCAATTTTTAGCAATTCTAGACCACCTAGCGCAAAACAAAGACCACCATTAGACAGCTCAGGAACACGATGGTGCTATTCATATTGGTGTACGATGTCAAACACGAACTGAAAAATTGATTTGAAAAAAATATAATTGTAATTTTTTTTTGCAATAAAGCGTACCTATAACTTGGCCATTTTTGAGGATATTTAGCTAAAACTTGCTAGAGTAAGTTATACCTAAGCACGTGTTCTACCACATATATTCCGTTTTTTCTCGAAAAGTCAAAAAGGTTTTGAAATAAGATAAAAATATAAATTTTGAATTTTATTATATACCTATAATTTTCAACATTTTCAAAATTTTGAAAATCAGAGATAGCATTTTGATAGCGCAGTCATTTCTGAGTCCTCTCATGCAAAGAAATTGGATCTAGCTTAAAAACTGAGCTCTTGGGAGCGATTGCCGTGGTTCAATGTTTTGCGTCGAAATCGGCCGAACATGACGTCACCCTGACGTCATTTCCAGCCCACGTAGCTACCACCACCTAGATTTATGGTAGCTACGAAACTTATATTTTGACACAAGGTGTCAAATTGATGCAGCCGAAGGTACTGAAAGTTTGGCGTCGATACGTCAAGCGGTTTGGAAGTTACTGCAGAAAAACGGGAGGGGGGGGGGGGCTATGAATAGCCCCCCCCCCGTGGGGCGCGGGTTAATTATTCAGCGTGCTCATGAACACATCGATTTTGGCTAGCATCAGAGCTTCGATGCCAAACAACATGCTAGTGACGAACAAATACGTCATACGTCTTACGACAGACAATTTGTGGAGAAATACATACATATTACATAACCCCATCTGGGATGCTACGTCTATCATGTGCCACCATGAATAGTCGGTTAGCACCGGCTTGAATTTTTGGTGATTAAATCGTGCATTGGTCCCATATTTAGTGACCTTCCCGAAGCTGCTGCGCGTCGACCGCTGAAAGGCCCCCTCTTGACAGTGTCCGGTGAACGGGTCCGCGTATCGACTCAAAACCCGCTCTGCGCCACGCCAAAGCGGAGTGGGCGACCGCCCTAATGACCATGGAATGTGCATGGTGCAATGTCCATCGATGGATCGACTTTGGTACTGGAGTAGGGTGCTGGCCTTACTGGCGAGCTCGTCGGTCTTTTCTTTAGGAGGCGACAGCCGCAGTGCCCTGACGCCCACTGCAGGTGGACGGGCCAGACGCAGCGATAAGGCACACGCCACTCCATTTGTCGGCAGCTGACTGCGTCCTCGGCCTCCGCGTCTCCGGGACGAAACAAAACCCGTATATTTTACATTACGAATCCATGAACTTTTGATGACCTCATGTCAATGATGTTAAAAACGGAAGAGTTGTCATAAAATTCTGCGAATTAGGAAAACTCGCGGGTGGAGTGCATTAACCGCCTGTACCGACGAGGGTCAATTTTTATAAGTTGTCACGAAATTTCTACAGGACGAGACGGCCATCTCCACAAATAGCAGTACCTACTTATCAACATCAGGCCTACCTGCATTGAGTTCAGAGCAAGGTATTCTTGGGCTCTGAGGAGCAAGTGTATCACTGTCTCCCTCGGGCAGCACCGGACATAACGAACAAAAACCCACTTGGTAGGTACGGGGGACCCAACGTAAAAACCCACGTGGCATGCCTGTAGACGGGGCCACGGCCCACATGGCTTGGTGAGTAGACGCAGCCGATACGCCGCAGACACTCACTTCAAACCAAGATAAGGGGCACCATAATTTCGAAACACCCTCATCGAGACGGCGCAGACAAGGTGCGTGAACTAAGCTCACCATTTGTGGAGCCAACAGCTAAATAACCATACAACACTTCTAACAAATGCAGCGGAGTACCCTCACCAGCTGCCGCGCCTTTCAATTACATCCAATCTAATCCAATTATTGGCGGAACTCTGCCTGCAGCGGGCGCTCGCTCCGGGCGCTCGCTGTCTGTGGCAACTGTCGTCCACCCCCACTCCCAGAGCTCCGGCGCCCCCTCCCTCCCGAGCTCCGGTTCCCACCCTCCCAGAGCTGCGGGGCCCTCCCTCCCAGAGCTGCGGGGCCCTCCCTCCCAGAGCTGCGGCTTCCTCCCTTCCAGAGCTCCGGCGCCCCCTCCCTCCCGAGCTCCAGCGCCCTCCCTCCCAGAGCTCCGGCGCCCCCTCCCTCCCGAGCTCCAGCGCCCTCCCTCCCAGAGCTGCGGGGCCCTCCCTCCCAGAGCTGCGGGGCCCTCCCTCCCAGAGCTGCGGGGCCCTCCCTCCCAGTCCTCACCGATAGTGGGTGATCGCCGTGATGGCCACCAGAGCAGTCAGCACCACCACTGCCACCACCGTGCCCTTGCGCGTCATCGTGCTGACAACGCCGGCCTCAGGTCACCGGTTGCCGCCCTGACCTCAGGTCACCGGTAGCCGCGCTGACCTCAGGTCACCGGTCGCTGTCCTGACCTCGGGTCACCAGTTGCCGTGTTGACCTTAGGTCACTGGTCACTGTCCTGACCTCAGGTCACCAGTCGCCGTGTTGACCTCAGGTCACTGGTAGCCGGCCTGTCACCTCCACATCCGCAGCTCTGACGCGCAGTGAGCCGCGTCCTCTCCAGCCCACGCGGTGTCCTCTGCAGCCTCTGGCGTCCTCTCCAGCCCACGCGGTGTCCTCTGCGGCCCCTTGCGTCCGCTCCAGTCTCGAAGGCGTCCCGCCTCGTCCTGCGCTGTCGGGTTCGGGCTCCAGCCAGCGCCGCGCCGGCGGCTGTTGGGCCGGTGTTGGCGGACGGGTGTCGACTGGTGCCGGCCGCCCCTAGGCGGCCCATCTACACCGGGTCGACACCGCAGAGTACACAGAGGCGGCGATAACGCGCCGAGGCACGTCACCGGCCGACGAGTCAGCGCGCACCGAACGCCGGCCGTTATCGCGCCAGGTGACGGTCAGAAACACATGGCCGGCCGGCGGCCGACGCACGGGGACCCGCTCACGAGCGACTCGACTCGCCGGCGGCAGCACACGCCGACGACGACGCACGGGCGGCACTCCGCCGCTATCGACACACGACTGTTCGGCTCACGGCCGGCGGCGACCGACGCGACGCGACATCGCCGCTCACTACACACTACACAGCAGTCACGGACTGGGCGTTACGTGACAAAGTAGGTATCGGTGGCAGACGTTGAGGTAGGGCCACTGAAGGCCACTGAAAGACGGCTAGCGTAACACCAGCTCACTGATGTCGGGTGAGTGTGGACGTCCGGCGCCTCTCTCGACACCGACAGAACTGAATACCGCGGACTGGGCGGATGTCTGTCCACGTGAGCTGAGGGGACGGGGGGGGGGGTGTTGAGCAGATGGACACAACCGGTTCGAGTCGCACCGCGCGCCGGCGCACTCGCTGATACAGTCACCGCATTCTACCGGTTTATTAGCGTGGTGGTACTGCAATCTGATGCACGGCCGTCGCGGAGAGCAGGGTTATCTGTTATCCAGAGCAAAAACACCGACCCGCCCGCCACGAGCACTCGGACCAGACCGACCATTGTCCGACCGTCACGGACCATCTCACGACTGTCCGCTGTCCGCTGTCCACTGTCCCTCCGACACAGGCACTCTCACCAGACTGTCTGCCACGAACCCTCTCACAGCTCACAGTCACAGTCTCACAAACTGTCCGAGGGTCTCTCACGACTGTCTCTCCGCCCAGTCCAGCGTCCCTCCGTTACGGGCACCGTCTTATCACACTGCCTGCCCAGTGCCTACCAAGACAGAACTGGCACACAAAACCCTCGATCCCGTTCGCCCTCCCGGCCCAGCTGAACTCGTTGGTCCCCCCCCCCCTCCCCGGACGACCGCCCCTTCCCCTCCCAGCGGTGACCTTTGCCCTGGAATAGACTCTCTCGACACACACGGCAGTGCATAGCCGCGAATTCGCCGCCACTCAACACAAATAATCAGCAATTGGTATCATGCACATGTCCAAATAGGACTACTCAGTGGCAGCCCGTCGGCCTTTTCCGTCCCGCCTGGACAGGCCTGGTGGTGTGCGAAGGGTCGTTATCGCCGATCTGTCTGCTCGATGGTTTATGGATGACTAACAGATACGGCCTATCCACCCCCCCCCCCCCGTTCGTCACCTACCCCACCAGGCGGACGCCAAAGCAGGTGGGTGTGTTACAAAGTTCCATTGGCATGGCAACCATGCCTAAACAACGAATATTTTGACACATTTTTGACACGCTTTGTGGCACCCGTAACCGAATTCGTGGTTTTCTTTCAATCGTCGAATTAGTCAGACACCAAGTATGTGAATTGTACGGCCCTCCAGGTACCACGCGGTAGGTTGCCAGCATGACAACAATTGTGTGAACATTGAACAGCGTACTTGTTCACAGTGCCCGTCAGTGTCCGCATGATACCTCTTCTATTGAGTGATTTTTCTGGAGTGGCCGTGTCATTCAAAGCTATTATCCCCAAAACTGATCGCCTGATCAACCATTCCTTTGCTGGAGGGCCGGTACGCGGTAATGGCGTATTTCCTTAACCCCTTGTCAATCCTTATAAACGAGCTCTAGTCCATCAGGAGCGGTTGTAAGATCGTCAAAGGCGTATTTCGCTCGTAGTAGATAAATTTGTATTTACGTATTAGGGTAAGAATACATCATCAGTAACGTCGCCCATTCATGTTACTGAACAGACATGACTGCCGCATATGGGTACTTGAAGCTAAGACGTACACACGCGCAACGAATCAGCGTTTTCGCTGCATTAGCACGTTCTATTTACAAATCGTTAGTATCGTGATATGGCCGTGATCGATCGCTTTCATCACGAAAGGGGACGAGTAATGGGCGACACCCAATGTCGTTGGTAGTCTCCCGATCAGCCGACCCGGCACCATTTACAGCCAGCTGGCTCAGTTATTCCAGGCGTCTCCCACAGTCTTCCCGGCGTCTCCCAGTCTCCCGGCGTCTCCCATTTGGCTGCCAGCGTCTCCCAGACCGACTCGGCTCCGGGCTCCGGCCGGCTCCGTCTCTCGGCTCCGCGGCTCCCGTGCGGCGGGCCTGGCCGCGGAGCGTCATAAGGGAGCCGCCCGGGCTCGCAGCTCGAGACGGCGTGGGTGACTGAAGGCCCCCGATGGCTGGGAGGGGGAGAGGGGACGGCGGGACGACCAGTAGTGAAACGGTAAAAATTGAGAAACTGGGGTGCATAAATTATATATCTGAACCAAAGGCCAGCGATCCTTCGGGACCAAGAAGAAGACTATATTATCCCAAAATGGGTTAGAGAATATAGTCTTGGGTTTGTGATAACCAAGAGGTTGTGTAACAATTTGTATGGTCACCGTGGACAGACAGCATGATCCCAGAGCGTTCGGTATATACTGCTGAGCCCACACCTCTTTCTCCGACCCCTTGCTCTAAGTCGTCCTTCGTCTCTTTTACTGGTCCTGCAAATTCATTTACGTTTTTTTTTTTTCATCTCCACCGGCCCCTTACTGGTCAACGGTGTCGTCCCCCCCCTACTCATGTTGTCCCCTACTGGTCGTATCGTCCGCTACTGAGTAACGAGGACGCCCCTTCTCCCTACTGGTCACCGGGGGACCCCCCCCCTCTACTAGTCACCGGTGTTGTCCTTTCTGATCGCCGGGAGACGCCCCCCCCCTCTACTGATCACCGGGAGACGCCCCCTCTCCCCCTTCTGATCACCGGGAGACGCCCCCTCCCCCCTTCTGATCACCGGGAGACGCCCCCTCCCCCCCCCCTTCTGATCACCGGGAGACGCCCCCTCCCCCCTTCTGATCACCGAAGACGCCCCCCTCTCCCCCTACTGATCGCCGGAAAACGCCCCTCCCCCCCCCTACTCATCGCCGGGAGACGCCCCCTCCATCTACTGATCCCCAGCCGCGTGCCGTCCCAGTGTGTCCAGAAGTTGCTGTACGGTCGGCCGGTCGGCCGGGTCGGCGCTCGGGTGGGACAGCATCAGCCGACCGCTGCTGTCCAGCAGAAAGTCGCCACCGAGCTGGTGGGGGTCGGCCGGGCCGCCGCGGTACGGTACCTCCAGTGGAGGAGAGTCGGGAGCCTCCAGACGTCGCTCAGCCTCCTCCAGCAGGGCCGAGTGACTCCATACCTGGCGGCGGAGGGAGGAGCTAATTGACTCACACCTGGCGATGGAGGGACGAACTAACAGATTCACACCTGGCGGTAGAGGGAGGAATTAACAGATTCATCCTGGCGGCATAGGGAGGAATTAACTCGCACCTGGCGGCGGAGGGAGGAACTAACACCTGGCGGCAGAGCGACGAACCAATAGACTCACACCTGGCGGTGAAGGGAGGAACCAATAGACTCATACCTAGCGGCGGAGGGATGAAATAAAACCTGTCTCCACATACGAACCAACCTTTCCTTTTTATCCGCCTTTTCGCCTACCTTGCCCACCCCTGATGGCGGACGGAGGACACACACGCTCACACTAACACGTGACCCCACCTGTTGCAGGTCGGTTGGCAGTCCCAGGGCGGTGTAGAGGCGGCGCCGCGGGTCCAGCAGCACCGGGAACGGGCAGCCCGTCTCAGAGAGCCAGCGGAGCACGGCGCCACGGTCCGAGAACGACACGACCAGCACGGCGTAGCGCAGACGCTCCAACTCGGCCTGGGCGGAGACGGCGGGGAGCTGGGGTCAGCAGGGACATGGGCCCGGTGCGGCAGCGACAGCAGCGACGAGCACCGTCACCTCACAGTACGTGCAGTACTGCAGTACACAGTGCCTTGACCTGGGGTCAAATTTTCAAGTTGACACTTCGAGGTCAACTTACAGTTCATACGATGCGTCTTGACGAGACGCACACGATGTTGCTAAAAGTAAGCTCGTGCAAGTTTTGAGTCAAAGGTTATTGCAAAAAACAAGAACGCAAAAAGTATACTTTGGTAGCTTTTGCCCCATGCAGGATAAACCGTTCTATAGCTATGCGCCAGTTTGTCGAAAATTATCGAAGCTTGACCTGGAAAGTGGCGAAATTTTACCTTCGGTGATGTCTGGTGACCTGACCTTTGCCTGACCTTAAAAGTGACTAATGTAATTTCTTCATTATTTTTTAGCTCTTCCTAACGCCGCCTACGGCGTGTTGCTACGTGTCCCAGGAAGGGGGATGTTCAAACACCCCCAGCAGGGCGTGTAATTCCAGGACCCCCAGCGGGGCGCGAGTTAACGCGTGCACACGAGATACACGTGTTACGCTCCCGCAGTGGCGGATCCAGGGGGGGGGGGGGGCAAAATTGGCATTTGCCCCTCCCAAACGGCATAATTTTAACATTACGCCTTATGGACGAGGCATGGAAAGAATCGATAAATTGTTATGGTTTGCCCCCCCCCCCCCCCAAAAAAAACTCTGTACTGGATCCGCCACTGCGCTCCCGGGAGTCCCCGCGCATCCCCAGCGTCTGCCTCTCGGGTCGTTTGCAAGTGAAATGATGGGAGAGCCTCAGGGGCTCCGCTCCTCATGTGCGCCGTGACTGATGACGTCATCCTGCTCAGCTGGCCTTCCAGGCGAGTCGGTACTGAAACGGTGCCAGGCGGCCGCCACTAGTCAGAAGAAGGGGGTGACGCGAGTGGCATCATCACAGTGGCCAGGGCAGTTGTCAGTGACTGTGGCGTGGCGATAACAGTAGACAGCTATTCACCAGTGCCGTGATCGACTGCACGTCGTCAATAGCGAGCTGTGAGTGTAGGAGAGCGACGAGGGACGACTCATCTGCAAATGCGCCGGTCTAAAGCGAGGGAACTGTCAGCTGATAAGCTCACGTGCAATGACAAACGTTGCGCCCATCGCAGTGTTGCTGATTTTGTCGGTCACTGTCATAATCCTGTGGTTTTTGAATGAAAGACTGTATTGCTGCTGCTGGAGGAAAAGGGCGTTTCCGCGTCTACATAATCGCGAATTAGATGGACAGTTGCAAGAGCATCATCACACAAGGCGGCGGCAGCAGCAGCGACAGCAGCGTTGCCAACTAAATCATCCGCACCATCATTCACAGCAGCAACAACAACAGCCACAACAACAGCAACAGGGACAACGGCAGAATCATGATTACCATCTTGACTTCGGTAGGCCCTACCGAAGTCAACGCTCTACGACTCTCCCGCGAACTCAGCCGCTGAATCACTTGTATGGCACTGGTGAGTGGGAGGACGTCAGAGTAAATATGCCGCCTGTGGCATCAGCACATGCAGATGACCAGGAGCTACTGTACAGTGTTGAGTGGCAGGTACCCCGGGTGAATATACCGCGGATGTGTATACCACCCCTTGCAGAGAATCAGCAGCCGCAGTACAGTCCTGACTTGCAGGAACTCAGGGTAGATATGCATCTGCATCTGCATCTGCCAGAAGCTGCTGCCAATGGCCAGCAGTCACAGCACAGTTCTGACAGGCAGGATCTCTGGATAAGCATGCCGCAGATTGACCTGCCATCAGCGACTGCAGACGACCGGCAGGAATGGCCTGAATGGCGGCAGGGTATAGGACAACTGCTACCTCGCCTTTCCGCTTCGCGGAATTACAACCGTCAGGGACAGAACGTGGCAGAACCTTCGTCTTCAGCAAGTTTGAGCTCAGCGCCAGTGGCGGAACAATCGGACATCAGCCAAAATGACCCACCTCCATCGTACGAGGAGTGCGCGTCCCCTCCCTCTTACGATGCCATCGTGCGGCGACTTCAGCCTCTCATACAATTCCCACCCCGTCCCGCTCCCTAACTGACCCGTCTATCCTACAGCTCCCACCCTGTCCCGTCTCCCACTGACCCGTCTATCCTACAGCTCCCACCCCGTCCCGTCTCCCACTGACCCGTCTGTGCTGCAGCTCCCACCCCGTCCCGTTCTCCCACTAACCCGTCTGTGCTGCAGCTCGGCGACGTGCCGACGTCACGGCTGTCAGGCAAGGTGTCGGAGTAGCACCAGCAGGCGCGGCCCGGCCGGCTCGTAGAGCGGCCGCAGCAGCCCGCTGCGGGCCTCCGCCAGCTGCAGACGGCCGCACGGGAGACCGGTGTGCAGCCGCGGCCCCGGCACAGAGTCGGCGCCCAGCCGCGCGCTGAGGCGAGTGATGAACTGGTCCCACTCTGACTGTGAGCAGGGGATGGGGAGGGGGGGGGGGGGTGACAGCAACAATGGGGGCCGACGGGAGGGGGAGGGATAAAATTCCGACTGCAGGCGGGCCGCCGGGCGGGAGATGCCACAGTAAAACCCCGACTGGGACAGACGGACGGGAGAGGGTGACAAGACCCCGACAGTGACGGGACCAGTGAAGCCTAGCCGAGGAGGGGCCTGCTAAATTTGAGTCACCGAAGCAAAGGACATTCTTGTCCATTCCCCAGGTCAATTGGTTCGGTGAATTTCAAATGATAGCAGGCCCTTCCTCGGTCAGGCTTGATGGATCCACCGTTACTTTGCGCGGTACTTTTTAAGACAGACTGTACTAGGCGGTACTGAGTAGCGAGTTGTATTGCCCAGATACCTACCCAGTTATGAAAAGTGCGGTCTAGCTGTTAAACTGCTAATTCTGAAATACCCACCTCCGCATCCATCAGGGCATCAATGGCCGACATGGCTTCCTTGTCATCACTGGCCCGAGCCTTCTCCTCCAAAGCCTTCCGCGATTCGACGCCGCAGCTGTCCACAAAAGAAAGGACGCGTTTTGGTTGCCGTTCGTGGGAAAGGAATCGCGATATATTTTCCATGCCGAAAATCTGGTAAAATAAAAATTGTTTTCACAAGGGGTAGTGCATAATCCGCATATAGATCGCTGATGTTCATGAAGGAAGCCGCTGTAAAAGTGATGTGTCAAATTATTGTCGTGTAATCTAATGCAACGATGGGTGAGACGACAATATAAGGGAAAGCAGAGGAAATATGAAGTGTACAAATCCATGTTAAACATAGGTGGATACCTGTTGAAGAGTCCTTGATACATCTCGATAAGCCCACCGAGCATTTCAATCTTGTTCGACAGAAACTGAGATGCCGGAACTGAAAATAAAATAGCTAAATTAGGACACGCAAAACAAAATGCATCACTGAATAGAAGCAAACTGAACGGAATCAAACGGCCCTCTCACGGGCTAAGCAGCGCCCTGTGTCATAAAAAACAGCGCACAAACGCTAACTTGGCGTCGCGTTCCACCGCACTTCGTCAGCACGCATTCCGACTGACCAATAAAACACCACTTTTATCACTTGCTGGCACCCCACGGCCACGCAGTTGATGGCCCGAGTCTCATCGCCATAACCAGCAAACGGTCCGAGCGGGGCCAGCGGACGATGGGCCTTCCCTCCGTCAGTACCTGACCTCCAACGGTAGACGGACCTCCTCTGTAATCTGACCTCCGTCTGTCATCTGACCTCCTCTGTCATCTGACCTCGTCTGTCATCTGACCTCCCACGGTGGTTTGAACACCCCCTGTCATCCAACCTCCCTCTGTCATCTAAGCTCCCCTCAGTCATCTAACCTCTCTCTCTATCATCTACCTCTCCCTCTGTCATCTAAGCTCCCTCTGTCATCTACCTCTCCCTCTGTTATCTACCTCTCCCTCTGTCATCTACCCTCTCCCTCTGTCATCTAACCTCTCCCTCTGTCATCTAACCTATCCCTCTGTCATCTAAGCTCCCTCTGTCATCTACCTCTCCCTCTGTCATCTACCCTCTCCCTGTCATCTAACCGCCCTCCCTCTGCCTTTTGACCTCCTACGGTAGACGGACCGATCCCCTGTCATCTGACCTCCCACGGTGGGTCGGACCTCACCTCTGTCCAGCTGCTCGCCAGCAGCCTCCGCCAGCTGGCGCGAGCTCTCGACGAACGAGCGGACGGCGGCCGGCAGGTCGGGCGTCGGGGCGGCCGCAGCAGCAGCCATGGTGCCGGTGCCGCAGGGAGGCTCCTGCTGCAGGTGCCACGCACGCGGGAGGTCAGAGCTGATTGCTGAACGACAGGTCAGGCCACCGACGATCACAGACTGAGTCCGAGTTCAGCAAGCAGAAATGTGTTATATGTTGTAGGTACCTACATTGTAAGGATTTTCGGAATAAAGTCAACCACAGATTCAAATATACAAAAATGTGATAAAAAATAAACTTCATCGTTGAAAAGAACAATTAATATAGAAAAAGATGAAATGAAAACAAAAGAGAAAAATGAAGAAACTGAAAACATCTTACCTGAGGGTGTAGCGCTTAGTCTAGTAGATTTCTCACAAGACCCGACCGATGTTACCATCCAATAATCACTACCCTCTTTTCCCTGACACCATGACAAAACATAACGAATACGACCTCGCACCGTACCAACAGAATCACAGGGTTCACGGCTCGACCAGCTCGACCAAAGTTGGACCAAAGTGTCGCTTCAATATCACTTCAGCAAACGACAACCAAGAAACCGTCGCCGTCGGCGCAGTCGGCACGTTCGGAACTGACTGCAGCGTCCTCCGGCGCGGCGCAGAGGCCGAGCTGCTCTGCACCCTTCTCCGTACCCGTCGGCCGGGCTGAGCGGGCCTGGGCACGAAGCATGCCTCGTTTACAAGCGATTTTCATTGGAGCCAGACGGGAGGCGCCGTCCCGGCACGTGCACAGGCACGGCGACGGGCCGACGGAGGTCGGCGGCTGATGTAAGGGGAGCGGCGACTGAGTCCGACCGGGATCAGCGGGCGCAAATCGACAGGCAGCAGCCTGGTAGGTCAAACCAGCAGGAAAGGAATGAATATCCAGGACGAAAGACGAACGAATAGTCAGATAATAGCTAAAAGAATCTATAGAAACCAAATCACATGATTAGATGTGTTCCTTGAATCTTGTGAACAATTTTAGGGGCAAAGAAAGAGCAAGAAAGAGCAAAGAGTATGTGTAGCCATGCATAATCCCGGTGTTAACCTCATGGTCTTCTATGCATCGTCATATCCGGATCGAGAGTTGAATTGCGCATTTAGCCCAAATCGACACAACAACCGTGGTAGTATCGCGTTTATAAACACTCGCCGATACGTGAGCCACCATATATTGCGGCCTCGATGACAAGGTCATGGGGAGTTCAGTACTGCTGATGACTCGTGTCCGTACATAGCCTCACATCTCGGTATATTCACAGGCCGGGTACGGCATACCTGGCCGTATTTAACAATACAAACATACTGCGCATGATGAAAACACAATGAACGACTATCTACTCCTTCTTCCCCAGACTTCGTATCCTTTTCAACTCCTTGTACGGCGCGTCCATTTGAACTGTAATAAGAAAGAAAACAATCACGCTGCTTCATATATGAAAAGGGTAGCTACAACAATAACCGAAAAATCTGAACATTTGATGCTGCAGACTGGGCTTTGCAGGTAGAAATCAACCACGGACAATTAATAACATCCAACAAACTCCATCATGTAGAGGCCAGTTTTGCCAACAGAAAAATAGACGGCTGCCAGTATTTCTATTTCTAAGTCTCCCTCGAGGTCGGCAGTCTCCCTCAATGTCGGTTAATCACGCGAAAGAAATAGCGGCTGATGTCAAAGCATATCATCAGGGTAGGCTGATATCAATACTCACATCAGTTGACTTTTTTCGCCTGGATGGTGAAATTCGGGAACGAGTTTAGGCAAAACATTCCGGCAGCGGGCGACTTTTCGGTTAATAAAACTGGCCTCTGAGGCATAAAAATAGTGACTGTATTGAGCAAACATAACATTAAAGCAGCGGCAAAGGGAATGCTTAATAGCAAGCTGACAATTGAGATGCAGATTGCAGATAACCAAGTACTTACTGAATGGGTCGAATGCTATCTTTTCCACTTTATCATCCAGCCTCTGCCGGATGGCCGTCCTCTTGTGGCCGGTGATCATGCTCTGTAGTAGGACCATCACGTCCCTGAGAAAAACAAACAATGTTACGCACACTGAAGGAAAACCACTATATTCTGAGAAAGGTGAACTCGTTCCAATTAGCTCAGAGAGTAGAACATCGGAGTCTCGGACTGACGGTGATTAGTTAGTGCCCGTTTCAAGTCGCTCCCCGCTCTATAAATGAGATATCTGAGTATGGTTTGGGGTAGGCGAGAGAAGTGGCAGCAGCCAGTAAGTTGGACAGATCCTGTTACCTACAACCTACCAACCTACAGCATTACAACCTAGTACCCACAAACCTACCAACCTACAACCTAAAACCTATAAAACTACAACCTAACCTAACTTACAACCTAAAAACCTACAGCCTACATCCCACAATTTATGCTGTTGCATATTTGTATCAACAGTGCCAAATTGTACATTGGACCTTTTCTGAACAAATACTGTAGCATTATCTATTGTCATCACCAAGGAATATTAGAAAGCTGAACAGTAAACTTACTTTGACTTTGGTTTCTTCAGCAGGGCTCTTGTTAGAAACATGTTGAACTTCAGCAAACCTGAGGAATAATTGTAGCCTGTAAGTATGTCAGCATCAACATCTGGCTTCGATTCCCGGGCAATGCATGTGGCATTGCCGCTGCTTGACCGCTTGGAATAGCATTATAGTTCAGGTTAGCACCTTGGTTCACCGGATATGGTGCTAAGTCCAAACCAACCAACCAACAAACCAACCATCAACATCTGGTAATCAACATAAAATTTCAACAACAAACATCAGTTATTACTGAAAGCAGACTATTCATTAGTAGGTATACAATGGCTATACAGTTGCCAGTTTGACTTTGGGCTAAGTCCACAAACTACTATTAATATTTCAGGCCAATTCATTTTTTTATGACAATGGCAAGGACAAGCTATTTGAGCAGTAAGAAAACTAGCCAGGAAAGGCCTCTAAGACACAATCAGCCCTGAGAATGTGAAAGCCATTTGTAAACACTTGAGTTGAGCACATCAACATGCTGACAGCTGAGGCATTTTTTCTCCATTCAATGTATTTCACTTCACTGTGGAACTCATTGCCATATGATGTTGTGTGTGCACCAGATGTTACCAGCTTCAAACGCTTGCTTGACACATGGGGCGTTCCACGACAAATCGACAAGTGCTCTGCACCCTCATATTTTATTTTTGCTTAAAATTGGTCTAATGGGTTGTGATGGGCGGGGAAGCCATCTGTGGCAAGGATTTTTTTTCTTCGAACAACGGTTTCCGAGATATAGCCTCGGGCTATTCCTGGAGGTCACGCTGCAACCCTATGTTTGGCGGCTTAAAACTAAGAAACTATTGGTTTTCTACGATAAAAACTTTATATGGTTCAAATCACAATCAACCAACAAACATTTTGGCTATCTCGGATTTTCAATTTTTGAAAATTTTGATCACGTGACCTTTTGTTCTATTTTTCGAAGAGTGACCTTGATATTTTCCCCACTGAAAGTTGCAATTTTGTCTGATGACGATTAAAGCCTTATCAATTGTCATTCATATGCGATAATAAAAAAGTGGTTATCGCCCTGCGTTGACCTCAGGTCACGTCATTTTTATGACCTGTCCATTACTACGAGCGGGAGCGTCAGCGAGATCTCGAGAACAAAGCAAGATAGCGACAAGCGGTAAACGGTACAGGGTACACACGGATAAGGTCTATAATTTTTACTGAGGTCATTTGCAGGTCAGGTCAAAGATGACGTCACAGGAGCAAAAAGGAAGTCAAAATAGCGGCACTACATATATATGAAGTTTTTCTCGAATAACTTTCAAGGTATCCCAGCTAGGAACAAACTAATAGCACCATCGTGATCCTCTCGTCGATCCGCATCGAAACATATGTATGTTGACCTCGAAAGGTCGAAAGGTCAAAAGTTGACCTTAGGTCACGTGATCTAAGGTCAACTTTTGACCTTTCGACCTTTCGAGGTCAACATATATATATATATATATATATGTTTCGATGCGGATCGACGAGAGGATCACGATGGTGCTATTAGTTTGTTCCTAGCTGGGATACCTTGAAAGTTATTCGAGAAAAACTTCATATATAGGTATGTATAGTGCCGTTATTTTGACTTCCTTTTAGCTCCTGTGACGTCATCTTTGACCTGCCCTGAAAATGACCTTAGTAAAAATTATAGACCTTATCCGTGTGTACCCTTTACCGTTTACCGCTTGTCAATCTTGCTTTATTCTCGAGATCTCGCTGTCGCTCCCGCTCGTAATAATGGACAGGTCATAAAAATGACCTGACCTGAGGTCAACACAGGGCGATAACCACTTTTTTATTATCGCATATGAATGACAATTGATAAGGCTTTAATCGTCATCAGACAAAATTGCAACTTTCAGTGGGGAAAATATCAAGGTCACACTTCGGAAAATAGAACAAAAGGTCACGTGATCAAAATTTTCAAAAATTGAAAATCCGAGATAGCCAAAATGTTTGTTGGTTGATTGTGAGTTGAACCATATTAAGTTTTTATCGTAGAAAACCAATAGTTTCTGAGTTATAGGCCGCCAAACATAGGGCTGCAGCGCGATCTCCAGGAATTGCCCGAGGCTATATCTCGGAAACCGTTGTTCGAAGAAAAAAATCCTTGCCACAGCTGGCTTCCCCGCCCATCACAACCCCTTAACCAGTTTTCAACGAAGAATAAATATGAGGGTGCAAATTTAATTTTTTTATTTGTCGATTTGTCGTGGAACGCCCCACATGTATAACAGACAGCCTTTACAACTTTTTAGATTGATAGGTACCTGCCCGACATTGTGATTATGCTTGCGACAAGTTGCTCATATTGTATGTTTTTTCCGAACATAGGAAAAGCAAAAGGCTTTACCCCGATGAGACGCACAATTTCAGTCAATGTCAAACTGCACGATTAAGGAACCAGCCAATGTAACGTAGGACTGGCATGTCTCTTGTGTTAAGGGTTCTAGTCATTGCTCATTTACCCTGAAGTGAAACAGAAACCCAAGACATGATATGATGATGGAACCCAACGAGGTAAGAATACAAGGTAAGAAACATACTTGAGATACAGGCATGCCTCAGCTGTCAGCATGAAATATGTGCTCTTTCTTCCTGTTAACTATTTGATTTCAAATAAAAAGTTGAAATAAAGAACAAGAATATCATTGCCATAAAGACATTTAAATCTGAATCTGACAATCTTGCCGTTACTTACCCTTCCCAAGGGGCGCGGTGATAATAAATAACTACCAAAGATGACTGTGAAATGTAGTCCTTTTAATCAGCATAGATATCTTCAAAAATTTCGATTAAATATTGAATAAAAGAAACAAGATGGGCCTGTTCCAGCGCCTCCAGAAACCTCCAGAAAGCTCCAGAAAGCTCTAGAATCCTCCAGAGAGCGTTCCAGCGCCTCCAGAAAGCTCCAGAAAGCTCTCGCCAAAGCTCCAGAAACCTCCAGTAGCCTCCAGAGAGTTGAGAGGTCCAAATTTCTCTGGAGGCTCTGGTCTACAATTATGGCGCACATGTGACAATCACGAATGTAAACAAAGGACATTTGACTGATTATTTTACAACTTGAATGTAAAGAAAATTACATTGCTATAATTTTCTTAATCTTTCTTAATAAAATTGAAAACAAATTTTGCGTTTTAAGAGAGAGCAATCGTCATTCTTTTGGTAGGGGAGAGAGGTCATATTGCGCCATGTTCTTAAATGCGCCACACCTTCCTCCTGTCCAAATTTCGATTCGAATGAATGCTCGAATGTGTGCATTTACTTCACCACCAATAACTCGCTCTTATTCCGGTCCACGGGGGCAGGTGAGGTGTCTCAGCTTTCTCGCAGACCATTTTTTGTGATTTCCTCTATTTTCTTACGCGAAACAGTCTATTTCGACCTTTGCTGGTGTCATGGTTTATCTTAGAGATAGTGATTCAACTAATAATCATTGTTAATTGCTCGTTTAATGGTAGTTTTGAAGTTTATCACCACCGTGGCTTCGCTGTCCTCGCCATATTTGAAGCTCATGAAAAATGTGTTCCATTCGTAATTGCGCCCACCCTATTTGCGCCCTATTCTTCAACCCAGAGAAACAGCATCTGGTGGTTGGGACACATTTCATTGAACACTTTGATTATTAGAACGCTCACCTTACCATTACCTTAGCCTTCACAGCATAAATGGTTAATGGGCTGACACGTTCAAATAGGCTACTTAGTTAGGTGGCAAACCGTTGTTTTTAATAGGGCGCTTTTACATGAGAGGCATGGGCGCTTTTTGATGGGGTAGTCCGTAAATGCGCCCTTTGCAGGTGTGTCGGAAAACTTTTCTCTTGTTAATTTTTATGGGTGTGATACAAATTAGGAGTTGTAATTTGATGCCAAAATAACTGAGGTACAATTTGAGATATCATCAAGCATGACAGCTGGTCAACTTCAGCCGCAATAGGCCGATATCCTTAAGGTGGCGCAATATGACCACTCTCCCCTATATGTGATGCCAATCTCCAGAAATCTCCAGATTGCGTTCCAGCGCCTCCAGTAAAACCTCTGGTAGAGCCTCCAGTCAAGAATTTCTACTGGAGGCGCTGGAACAGGCCCTTCGCACAGCAATATCACGATATCAAGAGCTCGAAGATTCCTTGCGCAGAAGACGTCCCAGCTGCGCAATAAATGATGAGATACAATCAAAGTCATGACCACCAAATAAGTTTACTTGTTACAACATTTAGATAAGTAAATAACAGTGGCATACTTTTAAGTCTCTAAATAATATTATGAGCGCATACTGCCACATATTCCAATTTATTTCGAACCGTATGCAAGAATAACAACTTCATCTTTAAATCATGAGGAAAAATAAAAGCCGTCCCCAAAGGGCGCTGGTGAGCTGGTGCGGCGGCTGAAATCACTATAGCTTCGGTACTTCGCCGCCAGGTAGCGCTGCCTGTCAATCTGCAAGCTTCAGGTAGTTTTCGCCAATGCGACTATCGATCTTCACTTCAGACTCGTCAGGGGCGGGCTCGTTCTCCTCCAGGGGACTGCGGCGGCACAAACTGAGGTCGACCCGAACCGGGCTCATCTGTTCCGGGTTCAGCCAGGGCTTGTGGACGGTGTCGTGTTTCCGTTTCCAGGCAGGGTAGGCGAGGGCGGCTTTGTGGAGCCGGCGCACCAGGCCCGGCGCCAGCGTCTGCGTCACCTTGTTGACCAGCCAGGCGGGCAGCCGTCCACCAGGCTCGGCGTGGGTCACATAGTGCAGCTCGCAGCCGCGCGGGCTCAGGGGACGGATCACGAACCCGGTCAGGTGACTGAAGGCTCGCACAAAGCCCGGCCGCGGCGGGTGCTGCGCGTGAAACACCGAGTGGCTCATGACGTAGTAGGCGCGCTCGTCGGCCAGCCAGGAGCGCAGCAGCACCATGTCGCGGTTGCGCAGCGGCGGCGGACAGCGGGCAGCGTAGTAGCTCAGCTCGTTGGAGGCGTTGAGGCAGCCGATCGGGCTGGAGGCGAGCATAAAACGGTCCCAGGTGCGGCGGTACTCCGAGTCGTGCAGCACGTCGTACAACACCGGCGCAGAAACGTCGCTGAACATCGTCTTCACCTTGATCATGTGGAAGTTGGTGTTGGTAGCGGGCTTCACCCAGACCCGGAGCGGCGCCTGGAAATAGTCCAGTTTCCAGCCGTCCAGGCTGTCCACCACGAAGGCGAGCTCTTCGAAGTCCTGCTCATCGGCCACGCGCACCTCGCCGAGCCTCATTTTGGAGGGGATAGGCGGGGAGCGATCCAGTGGAGAGCTGGAGACAGAGCCCGATGTCGAGCGCGCTCAACTGAGCGACAGAAGCCGAGTACCAATTATCGTGCGGGTTTCGAAAACAAAATAGATTAAATTAAGAAAAAAAAGATTAAGCTGCCAAAGGAATCAATTAAACGGGGCCGTTAAAAAGGAAATGTTGGGATGGACGTTCAGCAAGAAAATAATGAAATAAATGTGGCGCAACCCGCGCAACCCACGGAGAATATCCGTCAACATTTATAGACACGTGTGTCGTTCTTAGTTGTAAACCTCTCATCAAACGAATCCCTTCAATAAATTATCACGGACCAATTTTCCTGTCGTTCCATGCGGGGCAACGGTTCTAGATAGCCCGTTTTATTGGTTTTGGAAGTGCTTTCCACTTTCCAGTTAATAAAACATGTATTCTAATTTCAGTCTCAATTGGAACAAGGAGTCGTAATTCGGTTCTTAGCAAATCGATTCCAGAGAAACGGGTTAGGCAGAGGTTGAAGAGTTTCTTCCGTACCTACTGTTGATAATTTTACCGAAAAGCCAGCAGGAAAAATAAACGGTTTGCTTGTTGCCGCTATACAACGCACAAATATCCCATCGCTCCCCACGGCCATTTCGCCGCCTCTCCATTCGTTCAGTTCGATCCGGTGGGGTGGGGGCCCGGGGCGGCCACGGTGGGAGGGGCGAGGGCACCGCTGGTCGTCTCACGGACTTCCGGACCTCCCTCGTGCCGTGCCGGACCGTGCCCAGTCACGGTTTGGAACAAGGAGCCGTCATCGGGAGCGCCGCTCGTCAGTCTCTGCCACCGCCGGCCGGCGGGCGATCCCATCCCGCAGAGCAGCCTCCGACGCGGATGTGACCATTCCGGGGCGTCCGGAGGGCGTCCGGAGGGCGTCTCCGGGGGCGTGGGCGTCTGATGGGCGCGGCGTAGGGTCTCGGCAACAATGAGAGGGCGATCACGATCAGTGCCGGCGTGGTGACAGCTGGGCTGAACCCGACCCCGGTGCCTGGGAGGACCGGCCAACCGTGAGGGGGCTGTTTCGGCACCGGGGAGGGGGACGGGGCGCGGGGGTGTTGGTACAGTTCACGGCCGTCCCATGGCGCCCGGGAGTAAATCATCGCTGTCGACTTCCCACGCGGCCTTCAAACTGTATCTGCTCGGCACGCCAGGCGCCAGATAAACTGTCCGGCAATTTGTGCATGCACCGGGGGCGCTCGGACCAACAGGCTGATAGTCGGGCTGATTTACTGAGGGACGCGGTAACGTCACCGCCCGGGGGTGGTTGGGGGGGGGGGGGCAGATTGGAACAGAGCCACGCGTTGGCAGAGCTCTGCCGCCGCGGGCGGACCGTCCTCGGCCTCCGGCTTAGAACGGCCGTGAACTGGGCCTTGAGTGCGGTCAGCCCGCCGGCGAGCCTCGGGTTCATGTGCGTCTCGTCCTGAGGTAGGCGGCGGGGTCAAACACCTGAGGTTCTGCAGTCAGCACAATCTGCAGATAACAACGCAATGCAGCGCCTGTGGGCTGCCACCTCAACCGACAACCGGGCACTAAGGTCTGAGGTCGCTAAAACACGGCGGCGAGTGAACTAGGAACTGGAGCTCAGTTGAGACTGAGGTACGAACCCTGGCGATTTTTCTGTATCGGTGCATGCATGTTGACTCAAAAGTGACGGTTCCTTAGGCACCCATAAAAATGTCATTTGTAAGGACGTCGATTGTCGAATGCGTGGTTTATAGGTACGTCAGAATGACACAATGTGCTCATTAACCCTATTAGTGACAGGCTCCTGCTGCCCCCATTAGTGGCAGGGGGACGCTGTTTCATGTTCTTGAGCTGTTTGGATGCCACTGCTGCCGATCGATGCAAAATGAACCAGCAACTGACACGTATCATCAATACCTCCTGATCAAATTGAGCTAGAGAGTCGGGAAAACCACCAATGAACTCGGCAAGACCTGCCGAATCGAATGATATGCGACATGACCTACTTCGACCAAGTTCGTGACCTGGGAGCTCTGAGTGACCTGACCGCGACCCGAGGTCACCACCTAAAGCTAATCTCACCCAAACAAAAGTATACCATTTGACGCGCCTGAGCAAGGCGAACGCGATGTTGTCAAAATCGCGGCTCTGCGCTCATTTTGCGAAGTCATTTGCCAAAATGCGAGACCGTACCATAAACCGCTTGACCTGACCTCAGAGGCCAGCGGCTGATCTGAGACCCTAAAATCAGGTAGCTACCAATCGCTGCATCTCGTAACGGCGCACACGCTAGTTTTTTTCCGCGACGCTCTAGCTCCATTAGGGGCGAAACGGCGAAGGGGTCGTACACTCGGGGGCAGATTGATGTTCCACCACTCCCTACCCATCGGGCGATCCCATGGCTCAGCACTGGCTGCTGTCAATGTTGCCTGCCCTCAGCACTGCCTGCCAGTGCCAGTGCTGCCAGTTCTGCCACTGGCAGCAGCCAGTGCTGAGCCATGGGAGCCCGATGGGTAGGGAGTGGTGGAACATCAATCTGCCCCCGAGTGTACCACCACCACCCCCTCTCGGCCGACGCGTATGCATAGAAAGGCAATGCATAGATCCAGCGAGGGTTAAATTTCTTCGTGATCATGAGAGGAAATGCACCCTCTGGACCACACTTAACAAGCTATATCTAGAAACAATGCTAAGAAATGTCTCCTTGACCTTATCGTATCCTCTTGCTCACCAAGTAACAGTAATTAACAATCTGCGAGTCAGGTGCTAATCCGCACCTGGTAACCGATAGAAGAGAGGAAAAGAAACAACTGGAGAATAAAAGCCGCACGCCTCAGCCACAGCCCAGAACAGTGTCTACTTTCGTCGTTGACACTTGACTGACAGTGGCAGTAGCGGCAGCATGACACCACCGAGCAGACTAGTCCTCGGGGTGTCCCTCGTGGCACTCCTGCTTCATATTGCTTACGGTGAGTTTCGGCTTTGGAAGGTATAATTGTGTGCAAAAGATACGTATAGGCGCCCACTGAGCACGCTGACACTTCAGTAACTCATGCGTGCTGAGCACCCAGTAGCCCCAGCGTGCACTGAACACTCAATAACTCTGACTCACCAAATAGACAGTAGCCGTTTTCACGACGGGCTATCCGGTGAATGCATCTAATTTGACCAAATCTGCACCTATATCTCTTTTACAGTAAATATCTTTATTTTATGAATTTTTTCAGTGTTTTATTCGATGGTACCCTCTGATAATATGGCAAAGCAGGCATAAGCAATTAGTGCAACCCTAGCTGATAGCTATTAAGAGATACACTAAACCTAATTTGACCAAATCTGCGCCTAATCTGCACCAAATGTGCACCAAATGTGTACCAGATGGCCGTCGTGAAAACGGCCAGTAACTCCAGCCCACTGAGCTTTCTGTAACCCCGCGGCGCCCGTGTCCGACCGTCAGGCTCGGGGACGGTGTTCGATGCCAACCTGTTCCAGCAGACGTTCGACGTCCTGGGAGCGCGCTCCTGTCTGCCGGCCGACTTTAACAACTCGACTGTCAGTGAGCTGGCGAGCGCCTGCAAGGCCAGAGCCACCGCTCCGGTCCAGCCGGCCGAGTGTGCCGGTGCCACCTCGCTGGGACGATTCTACAACTGTCTGACCAGAGAGTGAGCGACCTCAGGGACGGAGCAGCGTCCTCAGGTTGTGGAGGGCCTGTCGATTGCTTGGGTAGCGAGGGAACGGGAGTGTTCTGTGTTCTTTATCAGTCAGACCGGACGACATTCATGGGACACTAGGCATTGTGATAGCATTTCCTGCAGCTTTTTGTCATTTTTATTCTTCTTGAGGTGCATTTGACCTATCAGCGATACTTAAAATATTATTCAATTTATATTAGAAATACATAGATTCCTGGTAAATTAGCCGCGCATGACTAGGGGGGGGGGGGCTTTATAGAGCCCCTCCCGGTTTTTATGTAATATCTTGAAACCTCTTAATGTATCAACACGAAACTTGAGTATCTGCCTTTAGCGGCATCAATCTGACATCTTGTGTCTAACTCTAAATTAAAACTTTCTAGCTATTATCGGTCGGCCGAAAATGACGTCATGGTAACGTCATGTCGGCCGATTTCGATTCAAAACATTGAACTACGGAAATCGCTCTCAAGAGCTCAGTTTTAAAGATAAATCTAATTTTTTTTTTGCATGAGTAGACTTAGAAGATATATGCTCTCCGGTACCTAGGATGACCTGACCTTGACCTGAAAAAATTGGAGTGCAGGTTTGGTACCCTCACGGTATCTTAGGCATATATAAACCAATGGACAAACCAAGAATGAGCCTGGTCGGGCGTTTGGACCGGTGGCCAGAGCCTAAATTGTGAACAAGTCAAAGTGTTGATAATTTTTTTTTTGACCTGAACTGTGACGTCATCGATGAACTCGAGTCAATGAAATTAGGTTTCGCTCGACAGTTTTTTTCCAGGGCCACCAAACGCCGTTTGAATTTTGTCAGTCAGCCAAGTAGTTTCAGAGATAGGAGGGGGGGGGGGCTCTGTAGAGCCCCCTTCCCTCAGTCACTCGCGTTATTGAAAATACCCCAGTCATGCGCGGATTAATATCCATTGCGCGGATACGTTCAAAGGCAAATCTGCATGAACTTATCTTTCCGTCAAAGGAAATTCACGTTCGTAGGTACTGATCATGACACTGGAGTGTATGAAATTATCTATTCGTGAGTCCGTGACCGAGTCTGTGACATTTCCCCAGACGCGGAATTCTGAACGCTGACGCCACTGTGCTCGACACTGCCCGCGTGGTGGCCGGCATCACCCGGTACTCACGGGACCCCGCCTGGATCGCCAAGACCACGCGGACTGTGCACGAGTGCCTGGAGTACGCCTCTGACGGCCTGACGACGCGCCAGCTGACTGTGTACACCTACCTCTGCCTCAAGTGGAGCCTGTTCGCCGACTGCGACATCCAGCAGGAGCGGCGCGGGGCCCTGGACGAGGAAGCCGCGCTGCGCAGGGCCCGCTTCCTCTCTGGATACTGTCCGCTGAGCCCCAACACGCTCAGAGGAGTCCTGGAGCACATCACCGGGCGAACGCTGCAGGAGTGCGGAAAGGGGCTCTACGCGGGCTACGAGCCGCACCAGCTGTACCAAGCCGAGATCGCCCGCCTCGTGTGCCTGTTCCAGAAGTTTATCGGCGCCGACGGCACGATCGACCTGCAGGCCGTGAAGCTGGCCATCACCTACGGAGAGGGCGACAAGTTCCGAGAGGCGGTGGAGGGCTGCATCCGCACCCAGACCAAGGCCGGCTCGGGCGGCTACAACCGGCTCACTGCCGAGGAGTTCGTCCGGTGCTGGGCCGACAGGGGCGTCATCAGCTGCGTCCATCAGGAGGCCAACCAGGTGGGCGCGCAGCACCCCGACAACTGCGACGTCACCCTCAGCTTTTAATGTAACCCCACGCCATTGACGTCACCCTCGGCAATTGACGTCAAACCTCGGCAACGGAGATTAACGTCAACGGCGCCAATTCATCTTGCATTTGACTCAAGCACTTTTTATAGGGCAACGACTGAGTAATGCATCGGAAGATCATAGCAAATTTGAAGCACATTTACAATGCTTATAACCTAGCGAAACATTTTATCATTGCGGCTGTGTGACTTTTGTTATATTTGCCGAAGATCACGTCGTGCAAAAAAAAACTTAATACCTGCAGTGTCCAACGGATGCAAATAAAGTCGACTGCTTCCAGTGGTTTGAACATTACCTATTGGTTTTGTAGCGTTCTATGTCGTCAATGGAATATGCTCCTGCTTACCCGAAGTTTGACGAATGGATCCTTATTGATGTGAAAATGATCAATAACATGCCAAAAATTGTATTGGTTCTTTAGTTTACCAAAGAGAAACAAAAGAGACAAGCTTTCGACATCACTGTCATCATCAGGTCTCTTTGGTAAACTAAAGAACCAATACAATTTTTGGCATGTTATTGATCATTTTCACATCAATTTTGACTATAATGTCTTCACTCATGCCAACCATCCAAACGATTAACCCTAGAACGCCTAGGGGGGGTTGTATCAACCCCCCCCCCCGAGGTTTTTTCGAAGTGCACGCTAAACGGCTTGTCGTAGCGGGCTGAAATTTTCTATACCCTCTGGGGCAACCTTTGCGCATCTTTTGCCGAAAAAAAAATTGATCGGGTCATGTCAGGTCACGGAGTTATGACGTCATAAGAGGTACAGCCTCCGGCCGGATTTTCACAAACTGAGTGCCAACGCCCGAGGTTTCCTGCCGGTGGTACGGACATCGGTTGATGGATCGTGATGAAACTTCCCATGCATGTTGGGGCAAGTATTGGCTATCATATGGTATAAGAAATTTGACCGGGTCAGGTCAGGTCACGGAGCTATGACGTCACAAGAGGAACAGCGTCCGGTACTATTTTTGAAAAGCGCCCGAACCACTATTTTGCTAATTCTTGTCACCTCAATGGGAATATGCAGCAATATTAGCTTCTATAGGGAGCAAATGGACCTCCCAAATCCAAAAATACAATCAGATTTCAAAAATTTAAATTTTGATTTTTCGAATTTCTGCCGCCGACTGTGACCTTGCCGACTTCCGGCGCTCCCAACGCGCCATTTTTAGAGCTAGGGAAACGAAATACATACCAAACGATAGATAATTGATCAAGAAACACGATAGTGAAGGTTTCAAGTCGATATCTCCCACCGTTTTGCCGCAATCGCCGCCGAAAGTTGAAAAAGTCTATTTTTTCCGAAAATTTGACCTTTGACCGGTCAAAAGTAGGTCAAATGTTGACCTAGGACCAAAAAATATACCACCAATCGCGAGATCTCGTTGAGAGCAATCCGTTGGTTTTTTCCGCTAAGCTCTACGACCTTCCGTTTCGAAACGCCAGGGGGGGGGGTCGTAACAACCCCCCCCCCTGGTCGTTCGTGTTATGAGAAATGGCCTGGTCGTGCGAGGGTTAAAAGAATGGATCCTTATACCTATAGTTACGGGATATAATGTTTCATCAATAAAAAGACTTTCACGAAACTTATTTACAAGCTCTTAGATTTTAACTGATGGTATTTTGTTCAAACAGCACAAAGCATGAATTGATTGTATTCAAACATGCTCAAGAATGCCGAATGAGCTATATCTTGACATTATATCAATAAAACATCACAGGTGCAATATAGGACAAATACGATGAAACACTAACAAATGGGCGATGAAACTGTCACCACGAAATAAGACAACAACGAACAGCCCGTACCTATGCCCACTTTTTCGATATTTGAACCACCTATCCTTCTTTGAACGCTAAATAATGGTACGAGGTGTTGCGTACTATTTTCTCCGAATTCATTGAGACATCCAGGTTACTCAGCCTCCGCCGAGATAACACAGTCGTTGGGGAACTCCTTGGCCAGCTTGTTGGCCTCCTGGAAGGCACAGCTGAAGGTGCCCTTGCTGGCCCAGCACTGAGCGAACTCCTTGACGGTGATGGCCCTGAACTGGCCGGCGCGGGTGGCGCCCTCGCCCTTTCCGCAGGCGTTCATCATCTTGAGCACGTGGACGGCACCCGGGCGGCCCCGCGTGATGGACGCCCGCAGCTGGTCGAAGTCGATGGACCCGTCAGACTTGGTGACGTCCTGCAGCAGGCAGGCCAGCCGGGCCACGCCGGCCTCGTACAGCTGGTACGGGTCACTGCCCTGGTAGAGTCCGGCGCCGCACTCATCCAACGTCCGTCCGGTGACGCGCTCCAGAATGGGCTTCAGCGTGTTGGGGCTCAGCGGGCAGCTGCCGGAGAGGAAGCGGGCCCTGCGCAGCGCTCCCTCCTCGTCCAGGGCGTCTCGCTCGTCCTGCTGGCGGTCGCAGTTGGCGAACAGACTCCACTTGAGGCAGCCGTACGAGTAGACGGCGGTCTGGCGGCCGGTCAGTCCCGGCGCCGCGAACTGCCGGCACCGGTCCATGATCTGGGCCACGGCGTTGTTGTAGGTCCGGTCGCTGCTGTAGCTGGCCATTACAGCCATCAGGCCGTCCACGTCAAAGGAGGAGGCGTCGGCGCTCAGCAGGCCGTTACTGTGGAAACAACATCATTTTGACTGTTATTGGGATTGGAACATGCTGACTACAACTGATGGCAGTAAAACATATGAAACACTCCCTACTACATCAAACAGGCAAAGCCACCAGTCACGAGCTGGTTGCTGGTGACCAGCTGCTGACCTGCCGGCGAAGCTGTTGTAGAAGAGGGCCAGCAGCGGCACGCCGGCGCACTCGGCGGGCAGGCTGCCGGTGGTCACCCTGACAGCGCTGGCCGACGCCAGAGGCACCGTCTCCGACGCGTCGAAGTCGGCGGGCAGGCACTGGCGCGGGCCCAGCGTCTGGAAAGTCGGCTGCAGCTGGTCGGTGACGAACACCGAGCTGTCGGCACAGCCTGCAGAAGGGACGGCCGTCACACGCGCGGGACTCGAAAGTCAACGTGTACCAGGACACAGCGCGAATGGTCACAGCGGATGCATGAATAGCATGCAAATGACGGAGCTCAGCCAAGTGATTGTGATTATTTATTTATTTAATGAGATGGAAGCGATATGCACTGCAAAAGGCATTGATTACGAAAAACACTACATACCTCAGCGTAAAACTGTGTGTGCTTAAAACAGATGTGTGAATTAAAATAAACCTACCTCCGTGGACTGCAAGCAGCCCAACAAAAGCACCAATGGTAAGGCCCATCAGAGGTGTCATGATGCTGCCTTTGCTGCTGCTGCCGCTGCTGCTGCCGCTGCCGCTACCGCTGCCGCTGCTGCAGTGTGTCTGCTACCAAAATCTATGGCCTTTTTATTCCACCGCTCGTCCTTCCCTGCCCTCCACGGATGACTGCACCAGATAAACCGCCCCGAGAGAGCACCTGCACTTACCGTTGTCGGCATTCCTATGATCTATCAGGGTCCATCCCTGCCCTAAAATGTGCATACACCTGACTGGGAAGTTTTTGCAAGCTAGCTTCATTGCAAACTGACTGGCTAACAAGCCGGGTTGCAATTCACCTTGGGACATTCTCATCAGCGTAGCAGTCAATATATTGGTCGTTGGGTTGCCTACACAGATACCTGTCTGATTGATGATGGTTAAGGCATGCCGTTTTCTCTCAGTATGACATGGCAACTATTCACATGCATTACGGGATTTTTTTAGGAGATGATAACTTCTAGAAGCACTTCTAAATTGACGCCTGGGCTAGCTAGCAACACTCCGTGGAGAAGGTGCCGTGTATCCCATAAACAAACTTTGAGGTGCCTATTCAGTTTCAGCATTTGCAAGTCCCGAGCCGAGATCACAGGGTCGTTAGTCATTATACATAGATATACCTACCTGCTCGTGTGTTCAGGCTCTGATATCCCGCGCCCCAGTGTCAGTCTGGATTTTCCACGACCTGGTGTGGGGGGTGTTTGAACACCCCCCCCCCCTTCTAATTCGGCTCCTGGGCCACGTAGCGACACTCAGTAAGCGGCAATCGAAAGAACGTCAAAATAAGGACGAAAACACTTCGGTCATTTTTTGGGTCAGGTCAAAGGTCAGGTCACCAGAGGTCACCAAAGGTAAAATGTTGACTATTTCAACATTTTGGAAACTGCCAACGGCTGTCTCGGGAACCGATAAAGCTACAGCGCCGCGGAAAAGCGCATTCGATAGCCCTTTTACAGACCTTTCTGATTAATGTTCTCAGATTTGACCTCAGGTCAACGGTTTAGCCTCCAGAGGGCAAAAACTAAAAAAATAGCTGTTTTTACGAAAATCTTTTTTTTTTTGGCGATAACTTTTGACTCAAAAGAGCCATGACATTAATTTTGCCAGCATCGTGTTCCTCTCGTCGAGACGCGTCGAATGAATTATAAGTTGATCTTGAAAAGTCAACTTGAAAAGTTGACCTCAGGTCAAGGTCATGACCTGACCGGAAAAGGTCATGTTGCATATCAGTCGATCCGCAACGTCGAGCCGAACACATCTAAGGCATTTTCAGCGCTCTAGCACGCCTCTATCAAAAGTTATTAGCGAAAAACTTGCGAATTAGCGATTCTGTTCGTGACCTGAGATGACCTCGGGGACATAACGAGGGGTCACAGTTGCCATTTTCCGGTTCAGTGTGTCAATTCTACCTACATCTCGATGTTTGAGAGTGTCTAGAATAGCGTTCGTGCAAAACAGACGCTTTTCAATTTTCTCCCATTGCAATGGGAGTCAATGCATTGACTTATGGAGAGGCCGCAAAATTGACCTGACCGTAGGTCACTGATATCAAAATTCCGAGATATACATTTTATAGATAGGGGAGAGTGGGGCACATTCGTGCAAAAAATGGATAAATCCATATATCTGTTCGTCGGTTAGTGCAATGGCAAAATTGTTGATTGTAGTATGGGAAGGAACTATTGCAGATATTTTTCCTCTTTAAAAGTTATCCTCTAAAGTTATCGCTTCCATTAGAAAAAAATGACTTTTAATAACTCTGAACGTTTGCACGAAACTGCCCCAGGTATGGGGCACATTCGTGCAAGGGGTGGGGCACTTCCGTGCACCCTGCAAAGTTCGAGGAATTACCGGGCATTGCCAGAAATTTACCAAAAGAAATTGGCAGGGGGTCCTTTCACTTGATTCCTTTCGACAAGAATGCATTGCTCAACATATGTAGAAAGAATGGGCTGGCCAACAAGAATGTGCCAACTGCCGGCCATCGACCCGCCTCCGTGACCTCTCCATGAGGTCACGTGAATTACTTGTCACGACGTCGCAAGCAGCCCAGACGTAGTCAGGCGAGCGTCACTACTACAGATAAAGTCATAAATCGCAAAAGCGGAAAAAATATGGAGGAATGTGCCCTAGGCAGTGCGTACACGAACCTGCCCCACGACGTTATTTGTAATATATTTCAAAATTTCTTATTGAAAAAATGACAGTTTTTCAACAAACAAGTTTGAAGCAGTTCCGGGAATAAAGTGAGCTTCTTCGCCCCCAATTTTGAAAAGTTAAACCACATTTCCGAGTCAGGATCACGAAAATGGATGATATGAGAAAAGTTTGGAAAGCGCACGAATATGACAAATTTGCGTTTTTATCAAACATGACAGTAGGTACAGTGTTGTCGTTTACAGTGAACGAAGGGCGGCAATGATAGACGTATTTTCATAATTTACCTTTAGCTCGTGCAGTCACTCGTCTTCCCATAAACTGCTAAAAACGAATGTGCCCCATGCACGAATGTGACAATTTCTCAGCAAAATTAAAACTTGATACCCTTCTCTTTGCAAAAGACTTAAACAAGCATCAAGGCACACAAATCACCCATCACCTTCAGACATTTATTGTAGAGACAAATCGGTTTACCAATACAACATAACTGTTTAGTTAGTGCATTTAAGTACCATTGATATTAATGCAACACACTGCTTACATAACACTACACTACATTACAAAACACAAAACATGACACTATGACGCAAGCTGGCCCGATTGGAGTCGTCCGTCGCCTGGGGCCGGGTACTGTCTGCTTTTTTGGCTCGGCGGGTTTCGGGCGGGGTCGACGCTTTCTGATACTTTGGTTTGGTCATGTGTTCTTTGTTTAACTTAATTGGAGAGGCGCCTTTGATTTAAGCTTTTTGCTTTTGCGCCAATCCTCTATTGTTTTGTTCGTTGTTCTTGTTTACATATGGAAAAAATACAATGAACTGAACTGAACTGAATGTGCCCCACTCTCCCCTACTGTTACCCTCATCAGTCACTGAAAGTTTCAAAGTGATCGGTCACTCGGTGTAGCTATAGCAGACATTGAAACTTTTTATGAGGTTAGGTCACTTCAAGTGACCTGGTGACCTGACCTTGAATGACCTTGGTCTGAAATTTTTACATCATGTGTAGAATTGATGCATGATAAGGTGTACCAAAAACGGCGGCGCGGAGCGCCGCCGATTTTGAGATATCTGCGAAAAACCGCAGGGGGGGTGTTCAAACACCCTCCACACTTGGGCGCGGGATATGGTGAGGAGTTTAGTCCGCAGAATGAACTGGCAACTGGCAAGGTCTTTGTATTGACTGATAGTGTTATAAGGTGGACTGGATAAACCCTTTGAGGCATGGGGGATCGCTTATCATTTCGAGACTGTCTGCTAACATTTCGCTATCTGACACCTATTGAAAATCTCGCTGAGGCTCTGTCAATGTCTACCCTAGTGCCCTCCTTGATCTGAGATGTATGTACCTATGCACCTTTGCCTAATCTAGAAGTGAAATGACGAGACGAAATTAATTAAAAGAACTTACTTGCTGATTGTGATAAGCCGACTACGCCTAGATATTAATTCATTAGGATTAGTTAAAAGAAGAAGGAGTGAAAACTAGGGCTGCTGCACGCTATTACAGAATGTGGAAGATGCACATCCGGGATGTAGGATCGCAAAGAATAGCAACCATGCTTGAAACGTCAATAAGATTATGGCCTTAGGTGGTGCATCATGTTTGCAACAATGTTCTCACGACGGAGCCCATTGTTCGTTTTCGTTGACACCCTGTAATTAGGCGCCGCTGCAGAGACTGCCACAGCCGTGTCGGGTGTGCCGAGAGCGGCGCCTTTGCTGGGGTGACCACGTCGCGACCTCTGACCTCGGGCCGCCGCGGGTGTGGCCGGACGGCGTGATATACCTACCCGGGTGCCGCCTCAGCAGCCATCGTGGTAAGTTTCCAGACCAGTGACCGTCGCTACGAGTCATTGACACCAGCCCTTTGTCCTTCCTTCATGACCGGTGATGGGTACCTAGTATCTAATGAACGTAAATCGGTTTCCTGATGCTGTTATTGGATTCATCGATCTGGAACAATTCAAGGACAATACGCATGGGTGGGTGACACATAAAAACAGTGAATTTAGCTTTTAGGAAGCGCTGAAGGCTGGTGCTCACAACATTCAACAACCGTATCAGCCTCGCGCTTATCTCCCGTAGGTATTACCCGGTAACGATGTTATAAAGGTAAGGACCAAATTAGGATTATGTTATAAACGTAACGTAAAGACTAAATTAGGACGATGTTATAAACGTAAGGACTAAACTAAGATAAAGTTGTGTGTGAACCAATTATACTTTATGTATTTAAATCACAAAATAATCATGGCAGCGTCAGTTGACGTAGTAAATATTCAGAGGTCATTGAATGCTCATGCAGGTTTATCCAATAGAATTCGGTCGAGTCACGCTGAGTAATCGCCTGAGTACCACAGTAGGATTGCAGGAGTAATTGATCCAACACCAAAGCATCTAGGTTATATTTCCGCCATAGACCACTATATACCACTAACGGTATATAGTGGTCTATGTTTCCGCTTATAAACTTTGCAAGTTAAACCTCAAACATTTTAGGTGAACTGCAGTCAAACCTCTCTGTGAATCGGCAATGTCCGAAGTCTCACCCAAGTAGATCGTCCCGAGTAGGTTCATCACCTCAGCTATGGTAACGGGGAAGGGAAGCGCGTGCGGTGCACCGTTCCTCCGACCGTTGAACGTTCCCGGATCCTGGAGCGCCGGTTCACGGTCGAGGTCACCGCCGCCCTCCCTGCGCAGCGCCGCGGGCGAGGTCAGCCGTCCGCCGGACCGCCAGAGCTCCACCCCGCGGCGGCCGGCCGCGCGCGTCTCCACCCCCGGGCCGCAGACGCCCTCCCCGCCCCTCCCCTCCCCTCCGCGGCTCCCCCACTGCGTCCAGCGTCACGGGAGCTGCCGCGTTACCAGCCGGATCTCACCCCTCCCCACCGGCGACCAACGCCCCCGGCTGCTTACCAACAGCCGGAAAACAAGGCCGGCCTTGGCGGAATCCCGGAGCAGCCGAGATGGGAAGAGCGGCGCCGGGTGTGTGATTCAGTGCACTGCGCACAGGCCGCCCACCCTCCGCCCTGAACGGGCGCAAATGCGACACGACCTCCCGTGAGGCGCCGCGCGGCGGACCGCGTTGGGGTAGGACGGACCGTGGCTTCAGCGGATTAGCGGGCTGCATTCACACAGCTGCAGCTCTCGGGCTGACGGGAACAGAGGATTATGTCGTCTCTGAGCCGCCCGCTGGTGACGGTGTGCATGCCTGTGTGATGAGTCTACCACAGAACAGCTGCACGGATAAAATACAAATACCAATTGAGTCTAGTGTCCATACTTATCTGATGAGTCCACCGTAGAACAGATACAACTAATGATTGTGTTAATTGTAAATGTGTCCACTGCCAAAGAAAGCACTCCCCGGTATAAATACGCATGCTCGCAATCATGATCAGTGGACCGTGCCTTTAATTCGTTTATCGCGGCATAATGTATGCCGGAAGTTTCTATTTTACATCGAAGTTAGTACAATTATAAGTTCTATTCTGCGAAGATTCGGCCTCAGCACACTTGGAAAACAGCCGAAGTTGAGTGTGGTGTGCGCTGGTGCAGTCTCCACTGGTTGGTGCTTCTGACTTGTGTTACATTGAAGTCACCAGGGCACGGAATATATAGTCTACGACATGGAATGGACAGGAGCTTTGATTAGCATTGCCACGTGTGTAACCAAAAATCAAGGATTTTGCCGGATGAATATCCGGAGATCCGGAGGATGCGGATGAATTTCTTTCCACGTGGGTTTACATTTTCATATATTTTCTTAACATTTCATACATTTTTTCTTAACAATCGTCGAATGATTCGTCTTCAAGGGCCGGGGCCAAGTTGTGACTGTGACTTTGAAATGGTAACCGTATATTTTATTGGAAACTCTTAGCACACATTGTTACGGGAGCATTTGTACATATTCATTGCATTAGAGTTTTAACATTGGTCTAAAATTAAATGAAATTCGATGAAATTCGTCTAAAATTTGATGAAGATGAGGAAGTGCGAGCACTCGCGCTCTGCTTTCAGGGTCCCAGGACTATATATGGCCTTGGTCCCAGGGCGTATCGGTTCCTACAAAAACGGTACCTACGTCCTTCCCCATCCTCGAACTCTGCGGAGGAAGATGGAAAAAAATACAGATGCGACCTGGCTTTCGTGACGCTATCTTGGCTCTCATAAAAGAGAAGTTCGCCGGAGCAAGTGCCAAGGACAAGCTGTGCATCATTTCGTTCGACGAAATGCAGCTGAAACCAAGGTTGGCCTACCAGCGGGGTGATGACGTCATCGAGGGCTTCACTGATCATGGCTCTCTCTGCCGCGCCAATGCCTGCGCCGACCACGCCTTGGTCATGATGGTGCGGGGCGTCAGTGTCACCAAACGCTGGAAACAGCCCATCGGTTTCTTTCTGAGTTCCGTAACGACCAAGGCGGTTGTGCAGCAGCAGCTGTTAACACAGTATGTCCAACGTGTAACAACAACAGCGGGATTCACTGTGCTAGCTACAACTTGTGACATGTCAAAGAACAACCAGGCGACCTACAGATTGCTCGGAGCTGCGGAAACCCCTAATTCAATATACCCTGCGGAAACCGGCTTCTTCACCGTGGACGGGCACGAGGTTGCTGCTCTGTATGACGTGCCTCACATCTTCAAATGCATACGAAATGCATTAATGAAATACGATATTGAAGTAGACGGTGAAGTAGCCTCTTGGAGTCATTTAGAAACACTCTACGCACTGGAATGCGCTTCTTTCCCACGGGCTGCTCCAAAACTAAGCCAGAAACACATCAGGCCAAACAGCTTTGAAAAATGAAAGTCAGCTATGCCCTACAGGTGATGAGCCGGACAGTAGCACCAGCAATCACATTGCATGCGACCCACGGCAAGCTCCCGCGCACTGCACTCCCGACTGCTACTCTCCTGCTGCGCCTCAACGACCTGCTCGATGTGCTAAACTCTTCCGCCCGGTTCGACCCCTGCTCAAAGCGACGAGCGATATCCAGCCTCCATCCAGCAACGGCGGGAGAACACATGCACTTTCTTCAGGAGAGCGACGCCTGGCTGCAGCGGTGGACGGTCGGTGGCGGCGCCAGCATCGACTCCATTCGAGGACTGCGACAAACGATAAAAGGCGTGGTGAAAATCTGGGACTTGTGTCAGGCTGCTGGGTGCACGTTCCTGTGCACTCGCCGCTTAAACCAAGATCCAAGCTACTGAAAATGAAAGAGTTTATCTGGGCAAAAATATATATTATAGTCCGTTTTTCTTAAGTTCGACCCTCACTGTAATCATCTCTTTGAACACAGCACGAGAATTGCTAGCTGAATTACTTAGAAAACTGGCTGGCGCACATTGATTTCACAGACGATTAATTTCACTCAAAAATATTTCTTCCTGGCTCTTATTTCCCAGACTCCTAGCTCGTATTTGTCTTTATATACAACCCCACAAGGATAGACATTTGGTCAGAAATTATAACTGAACTGATCATTAGATCGCACGGCGTTTAACAGAACGGTATATCATCGGTGTTTAAAACTTATTTGGAAAATATTATTAATGTCTGCAGTACAATGTGCGCTAACCAGTTTTCTAAGTAATTCAGCTAGCAATTCTCGTGCTATGTTCAAAAAGATGTTTACAGTGAGGGTCGAACTTAGAAAAAACGAACTATAGGCACATACACGGTGCCTGTGTACCAACTTATAATGAAGGAACATTATGACAACGTTTGAAAATTGAAACGTTTAACACAACCCCTCCTCTAAATGCATTTATGAAACGTGAGTGGGCCAATAAAGGCAACTAGTTTTAACTGTAACAAAAAAGCACTTCTGGGCACGTAAATGGGGTAAATGTGGTAAAATTCACCACCCCATATCGCCTCTACCGGAAACCCGTTTTAACCCCCGAAGGACATTGGCAATAGAGCAGGATCGTTCATGTTTATCAAAACAGCCGGCAACTTTCTATCGCAGCGAAAGGTTGGCTAGGACGAGAGTCATTGCTTTCACTGACTATGACAAACCTACTCGAACGGATTTTCACCTAGGAAGTTACCAAACGAATGTTGAAAAATACATCAGCACCATGGAAAAAACCTTACCCACCATCCTCAGCAACGCCGCCTCCCGCCGGCGTCCACCGGAAAAGGGCGGCAAACGAGCGAAGTTTAAATTGTCAGAATTGAGTCCAGACAGCAACACCTGATTAGAATAAAATGCACCTTCTCATATTGCCCCGGTACCCCGTTATGCCCCACCTTCCCCTATTAGTTATAGGTCTGGCAACTATACTTTCATCCTCGTAAAGGAAGTAACCACAGCGAATCCGCACGACTAAATCATCAGGTCGCCAAAAACTCGGCAGTTACAGGAAATCTCGATCTTGTCCATTCCATGTCGTAGACTATATATTCCGTGACCAGGGCATGGTCGCTAGCTGCTGTGTATGGTGCACTGGCTTGCGTATACGCAAGCCAGTGCACCATCATTCACATAATACTTTAGATTCTTTTCTATGACTGGGCCCTATTAGAGTCATATCGTTCTGCTTCTCATTCGCGTTAGAAATCAGTGTCTCCACTTCATGCTAACATCACTGAGCTCATCAAAGCTGAGTAAAAAAATAAAAACAAAAAACATTGACATTGCACCGCATGACGCGTGGTAAATGATTGCCCGTAAGTGCCTTTCGTCTAAATAGGGGATTAAATTTGTTGGAACATTTTTACATCGTTTATTATATAAAGGCTGTAGGCATTCTAACGACATTTACATACTTGATGTATCTGAAATGATTGCATGCTTGCCTTGATTGCAGTAGGTACTTGGTCTTATCCAACTTTCAATATTAGGCTGCTTTGTTAGTTGGCCGGTAACGACAAGGAGCCAAAATGAGTCGAAGAAAAATTTACATGAAAGTAATAGCCAATACCATTAGCATCCGATGAGATAACACTATTATCATCTCATCCATGCCATTAGCTTACGGCATCTTACGGCTTGTATGTAAACCGCTGCATCAGTGTTGTCCACTCCCCTCCGAAAGTGACAGTTTCGTCATGGCTGGGGTGTGTGAGACCCGGAGCGTCTTGTCGCGCTATTAGCAGTCATTTGGCGGTCGGCTGTGTAACGCACCACCCCTCCGTCCACCGGGAGGTAATTTGAGCAGCCGGTGACATTCCCGGCGCAAGGCCGCCGCAGGTGATGACGTCATAGGATCGCCGTCACCTGTCACCGTATCGTGGCAGCAGTGCTTAGACGTTTCATAACTTGTATATATAGAGTGAAGTGCCACAAGATAAAGGCAGAGAACATCACAGCTTATGTATGCATAATTATTTTTATATGCGTCAATAAAAAATCGCATAACATGGAAATAGAAACAATGCACAGCCATTTGCGGTGTATAGAAATGAATATAGTTTTTTCCGTTGTTAGGCTAGATGCTCTTCAATTCTGCCAACTGTTTACGGCTATTGTTGGTCCAACAATATATGTATGTAACTGTTTGTTGCCCTGATGGCGAGTCAGTACATACCCATTGAGCTCTCACCGACGTTGATAACCACAACACTGAACAGGGGATGCTCGGTATGACTGTGTAATGGGTTCGATATTGACTTGCATCTCCGTAGTAAGATGATTCGATATTGACTTGCATCTCCGTAGTAAGATGCATGTGAGAAAATAGGCCGCGTGATGCTAATGAAAATGAATGTGGCTGGCGATCTCGTGGAAATTGGAGCTTCACATTCTGGAATATATAACGATCGTGTGAAAAGTATTTTACATGACTATGATGATTTAACGAACGATTAAGCATAAATACCGACTCGAGACGAACCCACTTCAACTGCTCCAGCTCGGGACGATGACTAGCTTAGCTGGACAGGGATGCTCGGTATGAACGCTCCAGTTCGGGACACTAGCCGCGTTTACATAGGGCTAGTTGCCAGATAGTGGAATTCCACTAACGAGACATTTTTTCCACTAACGAGACATTTCAGGCACCTTCAGATAATTCTGACGACCTATCCGGCCAGAAGGACCAAACCGATTGACAAAAATAAATACATCGTGGCGGATGAATACTTCAGGCCGAGACATAGTATAGATGTCGCAACTCGCGGCCTTCCCGGCAGTAAGGGCGAGGTATAGATGACGCTTCTGCAGCAAGTCACTGGAACGTGCGAGTCGTGGAATCCTGGAATGGAACGGAAGATACGGAACGGGGGCTTCTTAACGGAAGCTTATTAGTTTTATTTTCATTTAAGAATTGATTTCGTGCGCTAGGGAAAGAACATTGTCTTCTTTTTTCTTACGTCTGCACCCCCCCCCCCCGTCCCTTCCATCCTTTGGATCAGCCAGTGTGCAGCAAGAGGTTTCATCGGAGAAAAACAACAAAGAGCAATCCTCCCTGAGCCTGTCAGGTCAGAAATAACCTGAGCATAGGCGGCGGAATGGGGAGGGCACCGGGGCACCGTGCCCCCCTTTGATTTTGGCATTTTAACATTAGCCCTATGGGCGCTGCATGGAAAGAATGGGACCAAAAGTCGGCGGTGCCCCCCCCCCCCCCCAATTGAAGGTGCTCCGCGGCTACTGAACCTGATGACCGTTCGTTATGCCCTACTGCCCACGCTTCTTAAAATTTCAGTAGTAGTCAGTTATCTGGCCAATGTTTCCGTATAGGGGTTGGCAAACACAACTGAGCCTCGTGAGTGGGATGAGTACTGGACACAGAAGTGGACAATCTGTTGGCAAGGAGCCCGCAAGGATAATATCTCGAAACTCAGGACTACGTATACAAACACTTTAAAAGCATCTAAATCTATACTATAATCGAAAGCCGCATTGTTGTGAACTACCGGCACGTGCGTCCAATCACCATCAAGAACGGAAGTCCGACCTACAGCAAGCACGACAGTCCGATCATAGATGTATTGAAAAATAACTAGCAACTTTAAACATCGCCTTCCTCAGCCACGCTCTACACCGCATCACATAAGAAAACCGCCAATATCGATTACAAAACACACATAAAGGAATTTCGTAGGTAGAGATCAGAGGAATACTTCACCTCCTTTATCTGGCGCGTCAATAGGTATAAAGTAATCTTTGGCGTCTACGCACTAGCAACATCTATAATGCAAACAGCAGTTCAGAAACCATCCACTAAAATTGCAACAAGGCAAGGGTTGGTCAAAATAAATTATAGTCACCGTGATAAATAGCAGACGAAATACAGAACAAGCAAGCACAACAAAGCATTCCACACTCATTTAGACTGTACCTACAATATGCCTACATAAGACATTGCAGCAGTGTACAAGGGAAACATTCTTTAAAGATGCTAACGTGAGGAGTTTTAAAAGTTTGGTGAACATAGTTACGAGTCACTGCACAAGAAATTTCGCGGTCGCCAGCCGGCCCAGGCGAAAGAGTCGACGGAGACGGCGTCAAACAAACCCGAGAGGGGGTAGTTTCATCCGCATCAGCGGAGGCGCTCTCTCTGTTAAGGTCGTCAGTTACCAGCCGCAGCACCCTGCTGGCGATTTGATAGCTGCTCTCATTCTCAGCTGGCTGAGCGCCATGTGCCGGGTCATCCGGCTCCATGATTTCCCCTTTCATTAGCAGCTGCTGTTGTAGTTATTGTTGTTGCGTTCCTTTCAGCTGCTGCCGCAGCATAGCCGTACGGTTCTGGATGGTTCTCACGGCGGCAGCCAGGGTCACCAAATCCGTCTCCCCGTAGCCACACCAGACTCGGGAAAATGTACCGAGATGTACCGAGCCAATGTTGCAGCACTCGCGGCATTCATCGATAGGACTCCGCCCAACCCAATGTCGGCACTGGCAGGAGCCCGACCAGTGGTCCAAACGAAACTGATGAAAATCGACAGCTGATGAGCGGTCCTCCACTGACGCCGGACGGGTGGCGACGGCGCGGCCGGTCCTGGAGCTGGAACAGCAGAATGGACCGGTCGGGACACGCGGCTCATCAGTCCATTCGTCCTGCTACTCCCCGTAGACCCCAGCTCCTTCGCTGCAGGTTCTCGCGTCTGCCGACCGGTCCGTCCACACCCACGCGGCTCGATAGGGGAGGGGATGGCAGATATCATTACGTCGCTTGAAGCAGTTCAGCTGCCGAGGCTCTTTGTCGCAACGCCGCCAGCGCCACGCATCGCAGCAGCACATACCGTGGAGTGCCAGCCTCTTCGCGGCAGACGCGGCATCGGGCAGCAGGGCACTACACGTCGTTGAATTGTGGGCATCCGGCCTCGGGAGGCGGCCGATGCAGAGCAGGTACTGGCGGATGTCGATAACGACTGCACGGTCGGCCTCCAGGACGGAGCCAGGACAGCGGTCGACCCATATCGACCGGTACCATCCGTCCGGCCAGCTCCGCTGCCAGGCGCGCGCAGCGTCGCGCGCGCGCCTGCCTTGCAGATAGCGCCCACGTCAATCGGCGCTACCGTTGGGATAGACGGCGGTCGACCCATATCGACCGGTACCATCCGTCCGGCCAGCTCCTCCAACACCGCTCTTAGGGCGAATAGCTCGCCGCGCGTGCTAGAGCAGAGGGCGCCTGCCGCGACACGCACCTCTCGGATGTCGCGGTTCGGGGGGGGGGGGGGTGGCCCCTCCTCCTCCATCTAGCACACCATCGATGGCGGAGCTGTCTGACCAGATCAAGCTCGCCTCAGACGGGAGCTCCGCCAGACGACTTTCCGCCACCTTGGCTCGCCAGCCGTCGCGCCCAAACTCGCTTCAGGCCGTGAGTCTATAGCCGGCGCGGTGGCGTGGCTTCGCCATGGTAGCCTTGGGCGGGTTGTCCTCAGAGAACGCATTCGCATTGGCGAGGAGGCGAGCAGCGCCACGAGTCCTGAAAAGACCAAACAATATCAATAGACAATCAAAACTGTAAAAATTGGCATTAACTGCGCAACTGATGTTTGCTTGTTTGTTTATTAGGGTTTACGGGCGCTGCGGTGGTCATTTTGCACCCATGAAGCTGTTCTGGTGAACCTGCGCAACTGAGCAGTGATCATGCTATAACTTATGTTTGGCGTAGTACCAGGGTTCCACCTAAAATTTCGGCGCACGTCAGGTGTAACGTCACATGCGACAAATTCAGCGCATGTCAGTTGGGCAAACTAAGGCTGATGGAATAACATAAAACGAGGGCACCAAAAATTGATCCTAAATGACCATACTTGGACATTAATGCAGACCCTCTCTGTATCACCAATTGTCAGAAAACAAGCGGTTTCAAGGAGCGTTAGAGAGTCATGAAGCCAGGATAAAACACAGTGCTATTTTCTAAAAACAGTTTTTACATGATAGAGTTAGGCAACTCTCTCTCTCTCTCTCTCTCTCTCTCTCTCTCTCTCTCTCTCTCTCTCTCTCTCTCTCTCTCTCTCTCTCTCTCCGTTTACCATTCGCAAGGCCAAAAAGGCCAATTGGTTTTGAAAGACATTGGATTACAAGCTGAGCATTTTTTACTTTATCATAAAATGTTAAACCTGCGTGTAGATAAAGTCTGAACGGTGGTTTGTAGGCTGATAGGTTGGAGGTTGAAGGTTAGTAGGGAAGGTAAGGTCAGGATAATTTCTGCTTTTTATTTTTATTGGACTTCAGTCTTCATCAACACACGCATCAAAAATATCATCTATTTGAGCATCTTCAAGCCTCAATATACAAGTTGTACCACAAAAAATTAAAAATTGATGTCATGCCAACATATGGTCATGATTTTTACCACCAGAATTGAATTACATGCCTATTGATGCTTTACCTAATATTTTGAAGCATGAAATCTGATTAACCAAACATTTTTTTCTTGTGTTGGCAGTCTAAAATTTGGCTGGCTTGAGCGCAATGCTATTGCTCTAGCAGAATCTCAAACGGATGTCTACCAAGTGCCACTCCCAAGAAAGTTTTTCAAGATTCTAAAACCACAAACTTTGTTGCTGCCTGATCGTGTGATGGTAAATCAAATGATAGCACTCCGTCTGAGGCCAGTTTTACAAACAGAAAATAGCCACCTGCCGGATTATTTTGCCTAAAGGCTAATTCACATTTGGAGTGTAGGTAAATGGTGTAGCCCTCACTGCTTACATGCCTATCACGTTTACCCTCTGTATGTTGTACCTACGTGGAATGGATATATGAAGAGAAAAATTCCAGGCAGCTATTTTTGTTGGTAAATCGGGTAAAGTAAACCTGGCCTCTGAACAAAAATTTGGACTGAGTGAGATGTCGGCTCTTTGGTGGTTTGGATAGGAGTTGATGATTTTAATTGAAAGATTAAAAGGAAAGGGTTTCAAGACAATTGGCATGACAAACCAACACCTTACCTGCAGTTCAAGTTTGTCGATTTCTTCATCAAAATCTAGTCTTCGTCTAGTCCACAAATCAAGATAAAATTACTGGATAGGTACAACTTCTTCTTCTTCTTCTTCTGCACCTTACCTGCCACCCCCTACACTTCTACCTTATTCTGATAAATATCTTAACATAATTTTCACAAGAATGCCACTCAACGGGGTAGATCTAAAAGAGTGCAGGGCTTAAGTTTTGAGCTACAGATTGGCTACAGAGTTCTCAGTGATTTTGAGACACCCAATATGTCTTTGGCACGCCGTATTTGTCTCTCACCGCTTGCGAATTCGGCGATATGATTGGTCGAAGGCCGAGGCTATGGGTCCAAGAAAAGGCCAAGATTCCTGCCAAGATTCTTACAGATAGCCAAGGCCGATGACTGACGTGACTGACGGCATGTTACTGCCCTTGGCATATTGCCAATGCACTGCTCCGTCATATCGGCAGTGATGTCAACAGTCATATCGGAAGTAATATGGTAGCTATACGCAAAAACCATTTGGTGTATGGCTACCATATTTTTCCGATAACGAGACATTCTAGATCAATCTCTCTACTGTTGGCGACATCTGCTTAGAAATCCCAAGACCGAACGCAAGCACATAAAAGTAATGCACTCTAAGGATGCGTTCGAAATCTGGGAAGTGACGGATTTCATTCCTCAAGGCTCAATGCGTGTCCCAGCGTTCCCCATGCTGTTTGTTCCGCCATCTATTGCCATGTTTCGCATTCGCACTTCATGAATTCACCACCCCGCCAAGTAGGTTGGTATCAAGTTGGTATAGGTGTCGCATTGCTCTGGTCGATTAGGCTGAGCCAGCTGTCTGGAGAGTGGAGCCGATCAAAAAAAAAAAAAAACGCAGAAATTCAAAACACCGACTCCAAAGCAATGGCAATTGGCAGCATGCATATCATTAGAGCGTAATTCTGTCGTGATTGCGTCAGAAGCAAACATAATGGCAAGAGTTTCTTGTGTGTCGGTAGGCGCGTGTGGAGTCGCTGGACCGACCGGGGACGTACCCAAGGGGGGACGGACGGGGACGGGGTGCGCCTCCCCCCTAGGGGTTTTCAGGGCCCATGCTGGCAGAAGGCCAACGTTGGCCAAAATCACGTCGGAGACGAACGAAATTCATGGGAATCCCCCAAAAAATCACGTCAGGACTCAGGACAATCAAGGCTCTCCGACTCGCCTGCCACCTAGGGCCCTTCAATTTACTGCGTGGGGCCTCCTGTGAATAACCGCCAGTGTCTGTGTCTGACCACTAGGACCCTGGACCCCTCTGACTCCTCGGGTAGAGGGCCCTCTGTAGGTAGGAGGCTCTCTCTACGGGATTCCTCCGCTCCCCCCCCCCTCGGCCAAATTCTAGGTTATACGTGCCTGCGCTAAGCCGGGGTCGGAGAGAGGAGTTGACGACCGAATGACAAGGAGTACTCGTCCTGAAAGTAAACATTTGGAATATAAACAATCCAAAGCTGTTCAGTATTTATATCATTCGAGAGCAGTGCCTTCAATTTGGATACACTTAGCATTCATTTCCCACACCCGTGTACACTCCACGAAGGCTTCTCCGCTGCGGACTCCCGCTTCCGCCGATGCGTCAGTTCTGTTATGGTCGGTAGTGGCGATTAACACGGCGATATCCTTGGAGCGACACAGGACGACCGAAACACGATGGCGGCGACCATGGAACTGTTTATTTTTTATGTGCTTCCATATGACCGGGGGGTGAGACCAAATGAAGGGAAAGGAAAACGTGCCCCATCACAACAACCCCCCCCCCTCAAGACGCATGCGTCGGTACAAGATACGCATTGCGTCTAACACATAAACAAAAATGTACACCACACACGGTGTGGACGCACGAACTCAGTCGTACGTCTAGTCCGCCCAGCGCACGGTCAGTCGGGCCGGACGGCGACGGCGGCGCGTCCCACGGCGCACTGAGCTGGGGTCGTCGGCGCTGTTCCGCAGCACCGGTGGTGCCGGCTGTCCGTCCGCCGGCGCAGCGGCGGCGGTCTCCTCCGTGCCGTCGGGTGCCGAGCTCGGAGCGAGCTGCTGCCGGCACCCGGGTGCAGGTGTGGCGGCGCCCTCCGAGATGAGAGATCTCTGGGGTCGCAGATAGCGCTGGTTCCGCCAGTAGACTCGGCCACTGGGCAGCCGGACCAGGTAGTCGCGCCGCTGTCCGACCGCCGTGATGACGCCGACGCGGTCCCACACCCCCGACCGCGGGTCTTGGACGAGCACACGCTGACCCATGGTGAGCGCGCTGTGCTGGCGGGCTGTCGTGTCGTACCGCTCGGCTGTTTCCTGTTGCTGCGCGGCGGCCCTGGCGTCACAGTCGTCCGCCGCCCGCTGCCAGCAGTCGGCGAAGGCCCGGTGGTGCGCCGGCACTGCCGATCTCAGCGGGTGGCCGAACAGGACCTGAGCCGGAGAGCGGCCGTCGGCGCGCGGCATGTTGCGCAGCTCCAGCAGCCCCTGCGCGTAGGCGTCCGTGTCGAGCTCGCCGCTGCTGGTCGCCTTCTGGATGAGCCGTTTGGCGGCCTTGACCGCCGACTCGGCATGCCCATTAGACTGAGGGTAGTGCGGTGTAGAGATCTGGTGCTCCACTCCCCAGCGGCGCAGAAACTCTCGGGTGAGCCGGGCGGTGAACTGGTGTCCACCGTCTGTCCGGAGGGTGGTGGGCACGCCGGTGGCCGCGAATATCTGGCGCAGGCTGCAGACCAGAGGCCAGTTTTACCAACAGAAAAATGGCAGCCCGGCGCAATTTTTCTGTCAAAAACCAGCCGACGAGTTTCACCAACCAGGCGAAAAAATATCCGCCGGCGTGAAAAAATATCAGCCAGAAAAATAGCCAATGAGTTTCACCAACGGCAAATGCGGCATTAATGGAGTGTTATTTTGCGCCATTATTTGTAGAAAAACAGCCCAAAAAATAGACGGGGGACCCCGTCTATTTTTTTTGATGTCGTGTTGGAACAATTGGCCTCATTTGTTACTAATTATCGTGATTTGCGCTTCCCAGTTGATATAATAATTTAGTATCATTCATGGCCAATTTGTAAAGCATCTCAGTCGGTGACACTCCAGGGAAATAAGCTAAAATTAGAGCGCTCTATTTGTTGCTCCCGCTACTTCACCGTCTCCCATAGGGTCCTGTGTTGAGCTGGTGTCGAGGCTCTAAAAATGACGCCGATTTTTGCACCCTTCTCACAAAAACCGCTCGGACCGCCTGGAAACTAATTGTTCCGCTCTAAAAATTTCATGATCGACGGGAAAATGAATGAGGAAAAGATTGGTCCTGAAATAATTCTGAACTCCCTGTAGAACATATCGAAATATGGCTGCAAACTAGGAGCATGTCAAAATCGACAAAACAATACAAATAAACTTACCGGAATTTTTTTATTTTCCATGCATCTGTGTATGAAATCAGTCGGTTTTTCGGAAAGATCAACTTCTGTTTAATAAATAATTCCACAATTGCAATCGAGAAAAAAAAACATTTCCGCTGTGACAGCAGTTTTGGCATTGTGCCAGTAGTGTGGCGTGCGCGGTGCTGTGTGGTCGTCGGGGCGGAGTTGTGAGTATTTTCGGTGTTTTAAATGGTTGATGGCCATTTGAACCAGCTTTATATTATTTCCTACAAATTTTTGCATCAAATTATTGCTTTGAAAGACCATTGAAACCCCTTATCTCTTCATGAAACACGATCATATTCATCGTCGACGAAAATGGCGCGGGACTCCATGTGCATTCCGATCGAAATAAATCGTAAATTAAATAATATTCGATGATAAGTATCATATTCTAGCGACACATTTTCATAAAATAAGGCATAAACTTTGCAAGGAAGTCAACATTGGATAATTGGATTCATATTTAGCTCACATATCCTTGTAGTAGTCAAATGGCTCAATTGATAGATTAATGTAAGTATATGTTTTGGCTTGATGTTTGCTGTGAAACCACCCAGCCACTTGCTGGTTGAGTGGTTTTCTGATAATTACCTGATAATCATTTCTCCTTTTCCTTAAAAGAAACTGAAATTCCTTTCAAAGTAATCCATTTTTAGGAAAGGTGGCTTGCTCATTGACATTTCATGTTCTTGTTTTGTTATTGCTGGCAGTATTTTGATACAATAATGCAATATGAATTTCTTGCAATAATAAAACCTAAGACAAACTTAGTTAATGCGTCAATCAAACACCCAACAGAAAGGTTGTGAGTCCTTGTGACGTGAAGTAGAATATTCTATGAATGTGTTATATAGAATATGCCAAATATTAAATTAATTATTATTTGATACTGATAGCTGAGCATGTGAATTATGCCACAATATAATTTCATTTTCTGGTTTTGAAATAGCCGGGAGTATTTTACTTCAACAAATGTAATATACATGGAACACATGTTGTTATGTTATGTTAAAAGTTTAATAACAGCCAACAGAAGGGCTGTTTCAGCAGATAATGTTTGTACCTTATGCATTATCTTTCTTTTCTGCAGGACCATGCTTCCGCTGGGTGGTCGACATTTGCCTCCTGAAGAAGTTGAGCAACATGAAGACCACCAGATGAGGTGTCTGCAGTTCATGTGGAACTCTGCAGACTACAAGTGTTATGCCAACCACAACCAAAGTGCTGTGATCATGGAGGCATGAACCTCTTGACAACACTTCTGACTTCAGATTTGCAGTTGAACCAAAGTGTGATTCAAACCACCTGTGGCATCTCACTCAATGTGTGAACAGTGTGATTATTGTGCAGTGTTCAGCTGCAACTAAGACATTTATTAGTGACTTGTTTTGCAATAAGCCACCAAAAGCATTTTTGGGCTGGCTGCTGTAATTTGTTGTGCACTGCGCAATAGTGGTAGTGTTTTGTCACTTGTCAAGTTGTCAGTTGTGCATGTTGCATGTTTCTCTTCCCTCGGCCCTCATTATCAGTTAAGTGGTGAATTGGCATCACTCAGTCTCCTCAGATCTCCATTGACTGTCTGTCAACCACCTAACTTGAGATGGTATTTGCTAATAGTGTCAGAAAAGAAGTGATTGTAGACATTTTTAGGAATATGAGCTCCGTTTCATGCGTGTTCCAGTGGTCATTTTGTCACATGTCCCATAGTGTAATAAATGGAAACTGTTGTTCCCTTTTGAAGGTACTCGCGGATGCAGAAAGCGTTGGGCCTAATTATTAAACGCACCCTCCTATCAGCGACGCACGAAATCGACAAATATCCTTTTTAGAACAGGAGGAAACGAAAACTTGTGAACATAGCTGTACCTACAACAGTGCATAAGGAGTTGAAATTCTGGGAGTTTTTGAAATTCGGAGAAACTCAAGTTGTCGACAGGTATGCCCCCTTGCACGTCAAAGACAGCCTAAAAAACAAACGTCTACAAATGAAGGCAGTATTCGCATGTTCGTTGTAATTGCAGCAGCCTAGCAACATGCATTGCGGTCCGATGGCGAATTACACTCGTGCTCAAAAACTATGCCGGTAACTGCCAATGCACTTAGGTCATAGGTGAGGAGAGGAAGGGTTATGTCATATGTCAACATCATAGAAATGGCTTCATCTGAGCTGTGCCTATTGTACATAATTCAACCAATCTATGCATTTCGTTTCTTGCAATCTACTCATGCTTTCACTCCAGCTTCAGAGTAATCATCCCATATTGTACGTCTTAAGATATTGATCTCTATGGCGGTTTGCAATTGCTAGCCACGTCTCACCTCAGTTTGGTGGCCCCGCATCGGCCCACTCGGCCGCTCTATAATTGACTTACGGAGGAGGATGGTGGCTTTTATTTTAGCTTCTCCGCTGACTGCGGGGAGCGCCGTCGCCGAGGTAGGAGCAATAATTAGCTTATGTTTGGGACTAATTTCCACGCTTAATTAGCATTTTAATGTTATTTTTAATTTATTCATGTTAATCTTTGACGCATTCTCTTTCTATTGATACCATCCACCGGTCTGAGAATTACTGCCTTGCTGCGTAAGGGCCGATAAAAGATCACGCTTTTAGGGGTATCTCTTCAACATGGGGCAGGAGCAATAAATAGAGCGCTCTAATTTTAGCTTATTTCCCTGGTATGTCACCAACTGATCTGGGCTTCAAGATTAGAAGAGGAATACTGATGATATTGCGTAAAGAAAGAGCCTTTGTCACCAGGCAGGACCAAAAGGAACCAACAAGACTGGTGTTTGGTGTTGTGGTGTTAGTTTTTTCGTTTATATTATCTTTTTGCTACAAGCACCCAACAGCAAGATGATAGCACATTATTAACTAGTGCCTAGTGGTCAGCTTACAAGTTCATTGCTTGTGCGAGCCGCACGGAAGTGGAAAATAATGATGGAAGATCATTTTCGAAAATTGAAGGTGCTTGAACAAATGCTGGAAGGAGAGGCAGAGAGGGTAGGCTCATTGGACTCAAGATTTTAAATAAATATGTCACTGTTTTCACATATTCAGCTACATTTGACAATGCAAGGCGCCAACTACTGATACCACTACTACATTTTGGGTGGAACTTACTTGAGCTGTGCGGAATAGGGAAGGTGCAATTGACATGGCTAAGACCAAAATGGCAAGATTTTCAAGATCAATGACAGTAAATTTAAAAAAGAAATTGAATAGCATGAAAGAAATGTATAAAGGCTTGTTTTTGAAGCCAAACGTGCAAAGTTTGCATGGTTGCGAACCCGAACAAACTTGCTGTCATAAGATTGTGCCACTGAGCTCAGCAAGTCATGCTGCCAATATTGAAGGAAAAGAAAATAATAGTAATGTTGTAAAATTTAAATGAATCCATAACTGTTGTGTGTGCACTGTGCTGATATTGAATGCATGTGTATCTTGCATGCATGAGTCATGCAGGGATCATGTTAAAACTGGCTGTAAGTATTGTGAGTTAGTTTTGCAAAATTGTGGAGGCACCAGGCAAATTGCGGCCGAAATGTTATTTGTTCACCTCAGCGCTGAAATTTCTGCTCACAGAGTTTTCAGATCATGCGCCGAAATGTTCATGCAGCCCATCCGTTACACTGGTCATGTTGACAGTGACAAGGATTTTTTCCCAGTCTCATGTTGAAATACAATAATAATTCACTTAGCTTGATTTTAGCTTATGTTTTTCATGCCAGTTCCTAGAATAAAGCAGCCAATATTTTCTGTCATGTGAGAAATATAATAACAATATGCACAATTGCAGGCTGTGGCATGTTGTAAGGTTTTCCTTGTTTATTGCTGAGGTTTTTCCAGTCTCTGCTGCAAAAACGGTGATGAATCCACCATCGTCCGACGGTTTCGATGACGCCAATCATCGGCGAGTGTTGCTGTGATGGCCGACCTGACTGAGCGCACAGCGGCAGCCGCCGTCGCCCAATAACGACAGTGAGGACACCTCCGAGTCGGACGGAGACGCCGCCGCTGACGACTTCACCGTGCTGGACGAGGTGGAGCGCTCGAGCCGACAGACCGTGCACCGCGTGCGCTGCCCGACTGGCTGGCGCACCTGCAGCCGATTGGCGACCGGCGGCCGGCGCCGGCCAATCTGCCGGCGCTCTGCCCCGAGCTGCGCGCCCGGCTGGCCGCCGAGGGCATCGAACAGGTGTTCCTGGTGCAGGTGACCGTGCTGCCCGAGCTGCTGGCGGCCGCAGAGTCGCCACTGCCACCGGCCGACCTCTGAGTCTCGGCGCCGGCCGGCCGCTCGGTGCCCGCCGTGTTCCGCCAGTACGACGCCGACACGCCGCTCTGCGTCCAGCTGCTGGGTGGAGACACAGTGGCACGAGGGGGCGCCAACTGGTGGCGGTGGGGCCGCGCGGTCCGGCCTCCCTGGCTGATCGTGGTGAGCACTCCCGGCTGGCTGATGGATCACATAACCAGCGCCGAGGGCTTCTCGCTACCGCACCTGCGCTACCTGGTGATCGACGAAGCCGACCGGGTGATCGAGATGGCCGAGACGGGCTGGCTGAAAGCGGTGGAGCGGGTGGCGGCGGTCACGGCCCGCCGCCCTGCATCGCCGGCCGGCTGACGGCCGCCGCCGTCTGCGCGCCTCACCTGCCGCTTCAGAAGCTGCCATTCTTGGCCACCCTGTCACAGAACCCGGAGGCCGGAGAAGCTGGAGCGAATGTCGCTGTTCCAGCCGCGACTGCTGGTGGTCGGCACGGCGGCCGCCGCCGTCGCACTGCCCGGTCAGTTCGTCGGCAGGTTCACCACGCCGGCCGAGCTGAGCGAGTCGTTCAACGTGGTGGCGCCGCAGCCGCTGAAGCCGCTGCTGATGCACCATTTGCTCCGACAGCCCGACTGGCGACGCTCGCTCGTGTTGGTCAACTGGAACGAGGTGGCGCACCAGCTGGAGCTACCGCTGTCTGTGCTGGGCGCGCGCGTGACTGAGTTCTGTGGGGTAGTGC